CATCTGGGCCAGGGCCCGCCCAGCGAAGGAGACGACTACATCTTCCACTGTCACCCCGCGGACCAGAAGATCCCCAAACCCAAACGCCTGCAGGAGTGGTACAAGAAGATGCTGGACAAATCCGTGGCGGAGAGGATAGTGCACGACTACAAGGTAATAATTGTCGTGGCTTCCTTCCTTGTTTATCTATCCAGCCACTAGACGCCTTAAACAGCCATGTTTTAACTCGTGCAACAAAGAAAATAGGTCTTTACAATAGAGTGCCACAGTGACGCGTCCTAAAACCCGGAAGTCTGTAGGCCGTTGTTGTGAGTGTGGACGGTCGGAGCATATACTGCGTTAGCTTAGCCGATCTCCATTCAGAAAACACGCATTTTAAAAGGTTTTTCGCCTGCCGTCTGTCTGCAGACTTGTCAAAGCATTAATTCATGGTTTTTACTAACCGGTATCAGTATGTTGTTACTTCGGCATCATTTTGAAACATGTATTACAATTAAATCACGGTCAAATATGTTCATTGTGTTGTAGTTGTAGCCACTCACGTCACTAGTTTAGCATATTCAGCCCGGTTGTTGGCCCGGAAAGAACCACGATTTTTGGAGGGCCAGAAAAAACTGTTAGCCGGAACTACCCCTAGTGGAAACGCAACAAAAAACGGGCCGGGTTTGGCACGGCACGCTTAAACCGTGCTACGCGCTGCAGTGGAAATGCGCCATAAGTGTCCTTGCAGGTTGATAAAATGAGAAACAGTCACTTAAATATGTTGGGACAAATGTAAAGCCTTGTAAATCATTCAAAAGAGAGGCAGGATTTGTATTTATTCTAATGTTTGTTTAAGGCAGCGGTTTTCAAAGTGTGAGGCTCGCCTCCCTGGGGGGGGGGGTGCCATGTTATAACAAATACATTTAAAAGTTGATTTAAGGAGACATCTAAAAATCGAGAAAATACCCTTAGACTCCAGAAGCTCTAATTAGCTTACAACCACATTAACGTATCAAATACAAACACTGATTTGTAGTCTTTCCACAATTTATTTAGATGTTTAACCACATCAAAAACAGCCCTACATTCATATGATACACATATAATGATAATAATGAAGCTTTATTTATATAGCACTTTTCATATAACACATGCAGCTCAAAGTGCTTTACAAAATGGCACATCACAAGTTAAAAATACACAACAAGAAATTCCCCTCAGATTATTTGTTAAGAACTTTTAAAAGGTACAAGCAGCGAAATATAACATGTTATCAGGTTAATAGACACAAGGAGGTCAAATGTAGGATCATAAAAATGAGGGATGCTCCAATCGCCAATTTTGGGGCCGATCGCCGGAATCAGTATCGGCCGATCCGATCGAGTGGGCGGGGCCTATGGGGATCTTCCATTTAAAGTGATGTTTAAAACTCAGTTAATGGGGCTCATTCGCCAGAGAGCTTCAGGGGAGGCGCAGCGTGAGAAAGAAATAACGAGAAACAGTGAAATCTAGCTAGTTAACTCTTTGGCCGACAACCTCCCGATTCAACATGTTGAATGTCGGTGTCGGCACGGCCGAAAAGACACGACGGTGCGGTGACATACAGGAACAAAATAACAGAAAGCAAAGCATGACAAACCACGTACAGTCTGTTAAGTAAAATTCATGAAGTAATACATACAATCATTACAATTTGATAGACAGTAGTGTCTAATAGATCAGTTTGATCAATAACAAGAGCAGAGCAGCTGAAAGTGAGATGATAATGCAACGTACCCAATGATGCCAGGGATCTAATAGCAGCAGGGAGAAAGGTGCAACATGAACTCCAGGGTACAAACATGCACAGCTGATAGAAATGACTGATTTCGATGCAAAACACTAACTTTATTTCCAATTCTCCCCTAAAGGATGTGTTCAAGCAGGCGACAGAGGATCGATTGACGAGTGCCAATGAGCTGCCGTACTTTGAGGGCGACTTCTGGCCCAACGTCCTGGAGGAGAGCATCAAAGAGCTGGAGCAAGAGGAGGAGGAGAGGAAGAGGGAGGAGAACAGCACGTCCAACGAGAGTATCGATGTAAGAGTGTGTATTTTTTTTTACTCCGTGTTGAGAAATCATCATCAAAAAACCACCTGAGCTCGTTAATAAAGCCTTTTCTCCATGTCCTCCTCTCTCTGTGCAGGATACGAAAGGTGACAGTAAAAACGCAAAGAAGAAGAACAACAAGAAGACGAGTAAGAACAAGAGCAGTCTGAGCCGAGCCAATAAGAAGAAGCCGGGGATGCCCAACGTCTCCAACGACCTCTCGCAGAAACTCTACGCCACCATGGAGAAACACAAAGAGGTGAGTGTGGAGGACATTCTAATTCCCTTAAAGGTCACCTATTGTGCAAAATCCACTTCTTCATGTCTCTTCTTCATCAACATGTGTCCCCTCTTCTTCATGTCTCTTCTACATCAACATGTGTCCCCTCTTCTTCATGTCTCTTCTACATCAACACGTGTCCCCTCTTCTTCATGTCTCTTCTACATCAACACGTGTCCCCTCTTCTTCATGTCTCTTCTACATCAACACGTGTCCCCTCTTCTTCATGTCTCTTCTACATCAACACGTGTCCCCTCTTCTTCATGTCTCTTCTACATCACATGTGTCCCCTCTTCTCATGTCTCTCTACATCAACATGTGTCCCCTCTTCTTCACGTCTCTTCTACATCAACATGTGTCCCCTCTTCTTCATGTCTCTTCTACATCAGCATGTGTCCCCTCTTCTTCATGTCTCTTCTACATCAACATGTGTCCCCTCTTCTTCATGTCTCTTCTACATCAACATGTGTCCCCTCTTCTTCACGTCTCTTCTACATAACATGTGTCCCCTCTCCTTCATGTCTCTTTCTACATCAACATGTGGTTCCCCTCTTCTTCATGGTCTCTTTACTCACATGTGTCCCCTCTCTTTTCATGCTCTCTACATCAACATGTGTCCCCTCTTCTTCATGTCTCTTTCTAATCACCATGTGTCCCCTCTTTCTTCACGTCTCTTCTACATCAACATGTGTCCCCTCTTTCTTCATGTCTCTTCTACATCAACATGTGTCCCCTCTTCTTCATGTCTCTTCTACATCAACATGTGTCCCCTCTTCTTCATGTCTCTTCTACATCAACATGTGTCCCCTCCTTCTTCATGTCTCTTCTACATCCACAATGTGTCCCCTCTTCTTCATGTCTCTTCTACATCAACACGTGTCCCCTCTTCTTCATGTCTCTTCTACATCAACATGTGTCCCCTCTTCTTCATGTCTCTTCTTCATCAACATGTGTCCCCTCTTTTTCATGTCTCTTCTTCATCAACATGTGTCCCCCTTATCACCTGAATCTCCTCCTAGAGCACCATTGTGTTCTTTTTAACCAAATCTCTCTCAGAGGGGCGTGGGGAGGGGCTCCTTATTTTCATTTAAAGTAACAGACAGAGAATCAGCACTTTGGAAACAGGGCTGAAACAGAGGGGATTATGGGTAATGCTGCAATGATCTGTTTGGTGTTTGGAGCCAAACACTTCATGTGGGGGAAACTTCTGAAGCAATTGGAAACAGGACTCAGAGAGACACGAGGAGAGCTGGAGCTTTGATGGCAAACACTGACTGTTTATTTGGAGCTCCGGCCGGAGAATTCACAAGACATGTCACGGGCCACGAGTTGACCACACGGTTGAGATGCCACAATCAATTCTGAAGACCCCTCCTGTAGCTCGAGGTTTGAACTAGTTCAGAGTGTAATAATCAACATTCTTCAATAGATAGACTAAACAGCTGAGGACACTGAATCACATTTGTTGTCGCTTATGGCTCGGGGTCATCTACACCCCGAGAAGGATGTGTTCCAGGTGTCCCACAACAATGACTATCTCTGACCGAGAGTTGCCCGGTCACAAACTGGCAACAACAACAACTTGCTAGGGCAGCCCCTCCTTATGGGAGACAACGGCTGCTCAAGGTTGGTCAGCTGCGTCAGAGGGCAAAGGAGGACATGCAGGGCGAATTATTCCCCAACACTTCAGAGACATGTTTTGTATATATCTGAGACCTATAATATATTGATGAAAAACAGTATAGGGACCTTTTATGTCTTTCATTTTAGTAAAGCACTTTGCCTTGTGTTGAAAGGTGCTATAGATATATATATATATATGAACTTGCCTTGCCCTCTTTTCCCCCAGGTGTTCTTCGTGATTCGGCTCATCGCAGCCCCCATGTCGAACTCCCTGCCCCCCATCACTGACCCCGACCCCCTGATGGCCTGCGACCTGATGGACGGCCGCGATGCTTTCCTCACGTTGGCGCGGGACAAACATCTGGAGTTCAGCTCGCTGCGTAGGTCCATGTGGAGCTCCATGTGCATGCTGGTGGAGCTGCACAACCAGAGCCAGGACCGCTTCGTATACACCTGCAACGAGTGCAAACACCACGTGGAAACACGCTTCCACTGCACCGTCTGCGAGGTCAGTTTGGGAAAGGTAGCTTGGCTGGGTCTTAATTCAGGGTTGAACATAAGGGGTAGAAGCATCATTCATAACTTTGCTAATATACTGGATATTTGTAATCTGTAGTAACAACTAATACCAAAAATAAATGTTGGATGTTTTCTAGATGTGTTATGTTAACATCCTTCAGATCACTAACCTTTCCTCTCCCATGTCTTTCCTCTCAGGACTACGACCTGTGCATCACCTGCTACAACACGAAGGGCCACGTGCACAAGATGGAGAAGTTGGGCCTGGGTCTGGACGACGAGAGCAGCAACTCGTCAGCCGCAGCGACTCAGAGCCCCGGAGACTCACGGCGCCTCAGCATCCAGCGCTGCATCCAGTCCCTGGTCCACGCCTGCCAGTGCCGCAACGCCAACTGCTCGCTGCCGTCCTGCCAGAAGATGAAGCGCGTGGTGCAGCACACAAAGAGCTGCAAGAGGAAAACAAACGGCGGCTGTCCAATCTGCAAACAGCTCATCGCGCTCTGCTGCTACCACGCCAAACACTGCCAGGAGAACAAGTGTCCGGTTCCTTTCTGCCTCAACATCAAGCACAAGCTCCGCCAGCAGCAGCTTCAGCACCGGCTCCAGCAGGCGCAGATGTTGAGGAGGAGGATGGCCAGCATGCAGAGGGTCGGACAGTCTGGAGGAGGAGGAGGAGGAGCTCCAGGAGGAAATGGATTACCTTCTCCCAGTGCAAACAACGGATCAACAGCGCCTGGAACACCGACTTCTGTGGGGGGAACGCAGCCGCCGACACCTCAGACACCGACACATGGGAACATGCCCGCTCTCCCCCAGCAGCAGGGAGCCATGGGGGGGATGGGAGCCATGGGAGGCATGGGAGGGATGGGAGGAATGGGGCAGCAACAAGGTGGTCCTCAGCATCACCTCCATCAGTATCAGCCTGTGGGAGTTGGAGGGGGGATGATGAACTCCCCTCAGCAGCAAATGGTGCCTCAAATCCAGGCTCCAAACGTCCAGCAGCACCAGGGGGTTCTTCCTCCGTACAACCCCAGACCCGCAGGAGCGTCACCTTTACGCCAGTCTCTAGGAAAACCAGGATCCACCCCTCCCCAGCAACAGCAACAACAACAACAACAACAACAACAACAACAACAACAACAAACCATCATGCCGGGGCAGAACCAGCAGCAGGGGCCCCCTCTGGCTGCTGTGGAGACGGCGCTGAATATCCAGCGGCTCGCAGAGACCCAGAGACAGATGGCTCAGGCTCAGGCTCAGACTCAGATACGAGGCATGGGTCAGGGGGGGGGGTCTGATGCCCCAACACCCGCACCACCAGACCCCCCAGGCTCAGATGGGCATGCCCCCCCACATTGGGGCACAGGGCATGCCCCCCCAGAATCAGGGAGTCGTCGGCAGGACTATGTTAGAGCAGCAGGGCATGTTAGCGGGGCTTCAGCAGCAGCAGCAGCAGCAGCAGGGCGGCCCCCCCCCAGACTCAGCTGCTGCCTCCTCAGGTGCAGCAGCAGGGTGGGGGGCCGCAGCAGTGGGGGGGGGGCGCACCTCCCAACATGAACCCCCAGCAGAGGATGATGGGTCACATGCAGCAGCAGCAGCAGCAGGCAGGAATCCCTCAGCAGGCCATGAATCAGCAGCAAGGGGCTCGAGGGCTGATGCAGGTGATGGGGGGAGCTTCGGGGGTCCCAGCAGGGGCCCCGAACTCGATAGAAGCGGTGGTGGAGTCAGCGAACACCCAGGCCGCGCTGCACGAGCTCCTGAGGACCCTGCGCTCCCCCAGCTCCCCTCTCCAACAGCAGCAGGTGCTCAACATCCTGCGCGGAAACCCCAGCCTCATGGCCGCTTTCATCCGTCAGAGAGCAGCCAGGTACCAGGGGGGTCCTGGGGGGGGGCCCGGTGGGGGGGGGTCTCCTCGGGGGGGTCCACCACAGCAGGGGGGTCCTGGGGGAGGGGCGAGGTTCCCTGGAGTCCTGCCCGGTGTGGGAGTGGACGGGCAGCAGCAGCAGGTTAGCGTGAACCAGGCGGGGGTTAACATGGCTCAGGGGGGGGCAGCGGCAGGGGGGAATATGCCCACCATGGCTCAGCTTCAGCAGCTACAACAACAACACCAACAACAGCAACAACAACAACAACAACAACAACAACAGCAGCAGCAGCAGCAGCAGCAGCAGCAACGCCCCATGCTACCTGGGAAGCTACAGCAACAGCAAATGGCTGCATTACAGCAGCAACAGCAACAACAACAACAACAACAACAGCAACAGGGAGCTGTGATGCAACCACAACAACCAGGGCAACCGGGAAACATCGGCAACATGAATCCACAGTTCAGAGAGCTGCTGATGAGGAGGCAACTTCTTCAACAACAACAGCAACAACAACAGCAACAACAACAACAACAACAGCAACAGCAACAACAGCTACAACAACAACAGCAACAGATGGGGAACCACGGGCAGTTCCAGCCTCAGCAGGGCCAGCAGGGCTTCATGCAGCCGGGCTCAGGTCTGCCCCCCCCCCTCTGCTGCACCACAGCCTGGAGGTGGAGCCCCCGCCCCCCCCCAGCAGCAGGGTGGGGGGGCCACAGCGCCCAGCCAACAGCAGCAGAGCTACACTAACAACATGTCTCAGGTTGCTGCGGCGATCCAGCAGCGGCTCCAGCACCAGATGCAGCTTCAACAACAACAACAACAACAACAACAACAGCAGCAGCAGCAGAACTCAATGAGTCAGGATGGAGGTGGAGGTCAAAGTGGAGTTTCAGGTGGAGGACAGACCACCCAGAGCATGCTCCACCAGAACATCCACCAGAGGCTCCTCCAGCAGCAGCAGCATCTCAGCGGGGGGTCTCCGGGGCAACACAGCAGCCCAATGAGCCCACAACAACAACAACAACAACAGATGGTTCAGTCTCCGCGGCCCCACCTTCAGGCTCAGGGCGGTTTGGGTGCAGCGGTTCGATCTCCGCAACCGTCGCCGAGGCCTCAATCGCAACCGCCTCGATCCAGCCCGTCCCCCCGCATGCAGCCGGCGTCATCGCAACCGCAACCCCCGCAACCGTCGCCGCATCGCAACCCCCCGCAAACAGGCTCCTCCCCTCATCTCATCGCGCAGCACCATCAAAACATGGCGCCGCCGCAGAATCCCCCGCTTCCTCCGGATCAGTTCAGCTCGGAGCAGAACAACATCATGTCTCAACTGAGCGGGATGACGGGGATGCAGTCGGACATGTTAGGGGGAAACAACAACAACAATAATAATAACAATAACCCGGAGCTGCAGACGACGAACATTAACCACAACAGTTTGGATCTGATGTAGCCTCGTCGCTCTCCGTCTCTGATTTTTAAAGAAACTGCCGCGATATGGAGAGCGAGGCGGGACTTTTTTTTTGTTGAAGTTTTTATTTTTTATTTAAATATTTTTGTGATGTATAATAAATAAGAACTGCCTTCCTATGGGAGATAAATCTTTAGAAGTCAATAAATGAATAAATTAAAAACAATGGTAAGTTATTGCTGTTAATATATATCTATATATATTTTTGCCAATTGTGTACAAAGGGGGGGGGGGGGGGGGCAGTGTTTTCAGGTTGAAGATATTTCTTCCTTATTAAGTCGATATTTTTGGGGATTTTTTGCCTTTTTATGAATATTTTTAAGATTTTAAATGTGGCGAAGAATTAAAAGTGAGTGACACGATGTACCTTTTTTTCCCCCCTTCCTCAAATACCCATAATTGTATTTTGCAGAGTATATTTTATTTCTGAATTTATTATTATGTTCCCTCCCTTCTCGATGACATATCTTCTGTTACAGAAATCCTTATTCTGTACGACACATATATAGACTTTATTTTATATGATAAAGGGAGGGGAGTTAGATCCGTTTTGTTTCAGGGTTTATAAATTACAGTGTTTTTTGGGGGGTGGTATTTTTCTGCAAACAAATCCTCCTCGCACCACTTTCTCCTCTGAATGTGCACACCTCCCTTTTTTATCCTGAAAGGGAGGAGGAGCCCCTGTTTTAAAGCTGGACGACGTTTATGTACATATATATTTACAGCCTTGTTTATAAACTGTGACATGGAGAAGCCTGCCTGTACCCTCACAAACAGTTCCCCTTCTTTACATCCCCGCTAATTCAATGTTGTACAGAAAATGGTGGACTTAGATACTGTTTTTGTAATGAAAGTGAAATTGAAATGTAAAAAAAATACACGCCTGTACATACTTTTAAAAGCCGTATAAGCAGAGGGATTATTTTTCTGCTGCTTGTCCCCCCTTTCTTGTTTGGATATTTGCTGTATCTGTATAAAAACACAAAAACTCCTGAGCTACTGTACAGCATTGAGATGATTTTGTAAGCAGGTACAGTGGGGGGGTGTTGAAGGTCACAAGCGCCTTTTTCTGTGTATTTTTGACAAGGTTTTTGGGAGGAAGGGGTTATTGCAAACACACCTGAACAATCTCACACAGGTGGAGACCGGAAAAAAGAGTTTAAATTTAGCTTTTTATGGACTGAAGCTCACTATTTTTCTCACAAAAGGTTGGGCTTGCTGGGTATATAAGAGGGGGGGGGGGGGCATCCGAACCAGGTGGCAATATATCTTGAGACTTATTTTGTAAGAAAACAAGGAAAAACTGTCTTTTTTATATATAGATATATTATTTAATTTTATTTTTTTGGAAATAAAACTTGAAGCTACAGGAATTATTAGATAAAAACAATGTCTTTGTTTTGTATTGAAGATGTAATGGTGATGCAACACGACACTGCAGACCCCCCGCGGAGAATCTCCTGATATAGTTGTAAACATACTGAATCACTGTACAAACCCGATGGCAACTGAACAAATACCTTCTCTTTTCAATCACTTCCTCTGCTCAACAGAGACTGGAAATAAGACTTATTTAAATATTTGTTTTTAGTATTACAAATGGAAAAACTTTGACCACTTTTTCTTTTTTTGTTAACAATTTTTTGGTGCTCGCTGAGAGAAAGCAAAAATAAACTGTTGCTCCATTTTCATTAGTTTCCTTTTTTCTAAGTTATTTTGGTGGTCTGATTGTTTTTTTTGCCAATAAATTAATTGTACAATAAAGTATGTTTGTACCATTGGAAAAATACCCCGTTGTTGACTCCTTTTTCACATTTATATATATATGAGATATTTGAGAAATGAAGCTCAGCGCAAGTTCAACCAGGAAGACCTTCTTTACTCTTCATTTACTATTTACATGTTACTATCTCCTCTCAATAAGTGAACGGGGGCGTCACTCCCCAGCTTAACCAATCACTTCGCTCTATTCTCAAGAGCCTATCATAGCGCTCCGCTAACCCTTTTTAAATCTGCTCCCCCCTCTGACAGCTGTCATTTCAGGTGACTCGATGCAACCCCCCTCCACCCCTTTTCACCTCCTCTGAATCCAGGGTCAAGCTAAGCCCCTCCCCTTCAGACCGACCCCAACTATCCATTCACCACCACCAGGGTCAAGCTAAGCCCCTCCCCTTCAGACCGACCCCAACTATCCATTCACCACCACCAGGGTCAAGCTAAGCCCCTCCCCTTCAGACCGACCCCAACTATCCATTCACCACCACCAGGGTCTAGACCCCGGGGGGGGGGGGGGGTTTCATCTGATCGGTTCTCCCCTCCCAAATGATACTCCTGCACAACGGGGCCTAATCACCAAAACTCCATCACATTCATTTGTGTATTCCTGGCAATAAATATCTATTCTTATCAAAACCGACTCTCCTGATTGAAGTAGTTACAGGATTTCATGGTTTTTATAGACGTCTAAAATTGTGATATTTGTTCATATTAAATCAGTTTGATTATAGCTAAACAGAGGCCAAAATATATAATTATTGATGTATATCGGCCGATAAATAACAAATACATGCAAATTATTTATGAATAGATGTATGAATAGTGTCTCGTATATACTTTATCTACAATAGGATTTAATGAGACACTATTTGGCTATTTTTCCCTTAATGGCCGTGATTCAATGTTAAATATAAAGTTAATTTATTCTTTATTTATATCACAAGTTCTTAACATTAAAGGTGGGGTAGGTAAGTTTGAGAAACCAGCTCGAGATACACTTTTTGTTATATTCCATGGAATGCTCTTAACATCCCGATAGCAATGAATATATTAAGTGCTTTGACAAAAAATCCATAACAACATTTCATCTGTGGAAGCCGTAATACTGTAAAAGCACGACCAGGGGCGTCGCCTGGACCTGAAAACATTCGGGGCTTAGCCCACAGTGGCGGCGGCACTACAGTGGCATTTTTCACTGCAACACTCCCCACACACACACACACAGTACACCCGCGACTGTTACAATGAAGGCTCGATAATCAGCTCATGGCATATAGGCAGGGGTAAAGTGGTATTTTTTATGAGTGGGGGGCTCACCTCCTCTAGGGGGGTCCGGGGGGATGCTCCCCCGGGAAGATTTTTTTTTAAATATTGAAGTTAGATGCATCAATCTGGTGCACTTTGAGAGCAAAATGAAGAGATCTATGGATACCTCTCTCAACACCCATATGAAGCAGAACTGTAAACAGATGTACTTTTTCTTTATGGATATTTTACTAATCACTCGCCTTTTAAACTCTATTCTTGTTTTACTGCCATATAGTATTTCATAACTGTTTTTTCCTTTATTCTCTTATTTTTTTTATAACTATAATGATCATATGAAGGTGTGCCGCGGAAATAATCTTTGAATAATTTGTGACCAAACCGTTTGAGACCCACTGAGATAACTTAGACTAAAGTTAAGTATCTAAACACTCAGAGAGTCCTTTAGCTCACCTGAGTTTCTCAGTCTGAGAGGAGAGGACTCTCCTCCAGCTTCTTGTGGAACAAACAGCTCCTTATGTCCGTCAGTGCAGCTAGCTAACCAGATGCCACACACACACACAGAGCCGAGCTTGAATGACACAAGCACACGTTTATTTCCATGCAACTCTCTGATTGGTCTGGTGTCATGCCTCTGTTGCATTCACTGAACACGGGAAATTACAGTGCTGCCGTCCTCTCTTGTGTCATGATGAGGTTCACGTAAAGCACGGTTAATGTATTATATTATTGAGGGAGAATTGTCCGGGGCTACAGAAAAAACATTCGGGGCTAAATTACCTACCCCACCTTTAACTTGAAATAATACATGTTGTTTTCCCAGAGACAATGGACTTTTATTTTTAAATGTATTTAAAGGTGGGGCAGGTAAGAATGGAGAAACCAGCTTGAGTGCGCTAGAATTTGAAAGTACGCAGCCCAAACAAATCTGCTCCTTCCTTCAGACTTCCTTACAGAGCCCCTCCTCCAACACACACGAACGCGCACATGACCAATGAGGGCACAAGATAAGTTTGTGCACAGATGGAAGGCTGACAGGCAGGTAGGCCATCCAGTTACTTTAGCCGGGCCGGCTCAGATGATTGGTCGTGCTTTTTACAGCGCCACGGCTTCCACAGATGACATTTTTTTATGTATTTATTGTCAAAGCATTTCATGTATTCATTGCTATCGGGATGTTAAGAGCATTCCATGGAATATAACAAAAAGTGTTTCGGAAGTGAATTACCTACCCTACCTTTAATATTTGTATACATTGTTTTCTCGTTATTAATGAAATCAATCTTGAAAAATGATTGAGAATATTTGTAATTTGTAATTTCATTTTAATGACAAATAACTTGTGATATCCAGAAGAAAATCCTCAATTAACTCAATGTATTATTAACTAGAAACATGTCTTTAGTGCAGCGGTTCCCAACCTTTTTCAACTCAGGGCCCACTTAAGAATCTAAAAACATTCAACCATAAACAATACAGAGGCTAAATGAAGTTCTCAGAGTACTTTTGATTTTAATTAGAAAAAGGAGCTGGCCATCAGTAACAAACAGACATTTTTATTACACGGTTTAGTTGAATACTCGATTCTGATTGGTCGATTCAGAACATGTGACACGTTGTTAATCCAGTAGAACAGACCGCAAAAAAAATCTTAATAATGAAATGTTTCCACACAAATTATAATGTTTTGCAAATTATTTGGCGGCCCACTTGCAATGCCTTCGCGGACCACTAGGGGGCCGCGGCCCACAGGTTGGGAAACGCTGCTTTAGTGTGTCAATAAGCAACTGAACAAGGGACTCAAACCATAGTAAACATGAGTAACATTTATTTTAGTATAAATATCCCATACACAGGGACAAACACAATAAAGTGCAAATATTCAGGAAGCAGCACAACATCAGGCGACGTCCAATCAGGAGCTCTCATGTTATAGCATTCGCAGTTTATCACAAACTTTATAAAAACGTTTCTGTTTCAGTCCACAAATACACAGAATAAAGAATACATTCAGGTCAATGTAGAAAAATAAGAAATACTTTAGTCCCCTCGGTCTTCCTCTCTTTGACGTTTCCTCATATTTCAAGTAATAACAGCATCAGTAGAGGAAAAGTGTGTGTGTGTGTGTGTGTACAAGATAGAGAGACATTAGCCCTAAAACTACAACAAAATTCAGCAACATCAGGCACTTTCTATCCCTGCGCAGGACGCAACAGATTCAGGCTTTTATTAGATTCTTTAAATGATTAATATTCATTTTACTCAACAATTTCCTGCCGTATTATTAAATAAGTCTGCACAGCTGAGGGGACACCTGTCACTCTCAATTCACGTGATTTTTGGATGATTTATTCAATAACAACTCAGAGTTATTAATTGTTATTAAGCTGCGTTAATCAAATGACAGCCACATTGTTACCTAAAGTGTCTCAAACACGTTTAAGGAGTGCAATGCAACTGAAAGGTAGGAATTCAATTAAACCACTTTTGTATATCTAACAGTTGTCAGTCACGTAAACTGTGTGATGTATACCCTGTCAGTCACACTATAGAGGCTCCTGATGATCAGTATATACAGTGCAATTCAATAATACATGATACTATTGATCTAGTATCTTCATTCGGTACAATACTCAGTCATCACGGGTGTGTTTTGAGAGGAGGAGTAAACGGAGGAAACTACAGTGTGTGTTTCATTGATGTAACTGCACTGCAGGAGAAACGACATGCAGGCGCTTTGAATCTCACGGAGGATCTGGAAACACGAACAAGACGAAGCCACGTGTCGAACAGGAGAACAAACTGTAGTTATTATGAGTGTTAGTGGGAACAGAGGACATGTTTGCATGCACAGAGAACTCAACCTGTACTATTTTATCACCTATGATACGTTACACTCTTAAACTACTACTTTTTCCAATATCTGTAGTAAATCTATTTATGACTTTGGTAAAAAATGCTGATGGTTACATTTGCTCAATCTGACGTGGTATACTCCTAAGAGCCCAGACTTCACAATAAAAGCATTAAAGGTGATAAGTACAGTAACCGTTCAAAATAAAAGCATGATAGGAGCTACAAACATGAACATTTTCATGCATGAAGTCCATTTTGTCAATTGCTTAAAGGGACCACAGATAGACACATAACAAGGGGAAGCCCCTTTACTTTGAAAAGGCAACATGGGACTTTATTTTGAAAAATATAAGTAATTTTGAGGACTTTCACACACAATGTTTGTATGTTTAACAGATCATTTTGCAAGTTAAAGGGGACCTATCACTTTTTGGGGAAGATCACGCAGCGTCAGAAAATAAAACCCTCTCTCTTTTCCTCCGTACCCAAATCTTTAAAAAACGGGGGCACAACGAGCGGACACAGATTTGCTGCCGATATGACGTCAAATCGCCGGCGGACCCACAGAAAGTTGCTATCAGAAACAATGCCTGACGTGTTTTGGACGTAATCTCGTCTTTGTTTACATTAGCAAGCCTCGCTAACACTCAGAGCTAACCTGTACTGGAGAGCACATGTGTTTAAAAAGCAGGAAATTAAAAAAGGAACTCACCTTGTGATACACCTGCAAGAGAAAAAGCATTTGAGCTCCATACTGTTTCAGAAATAATCCTTGATGTGGTTTAGAACAGGATGGCGTTTTATCACAGCAGAATTTTACTTTATCTCCGGTAGAATTCTGATCAGGCATTAGCTCTGCCTCCTCTTTCTTTCTTTTGTAAGCTAAGGACCCAAAATCTGCGTTTCTCTAACAGGGCTGCAATAGAGGGGTATGAGCAGTATGAGGCATGGCTACAATGGGGGATCTGTTTGGTATTTTAAGCAAAAAACTTCACAGACATGTTTTGTATAGGTATGGCCCTACAATATATGTTTCCAATATAGCATAATAGGTCCACTTTAAGAAAGTGTTGTAGTATGAAGGTACACTAGAGTTAATTTAGTAACTAAATTACTATTTAAGGGACACATCAATAAATATAATACAGTAATTAAATGTTATGAGATATAGTTTATGAAATGGGCTGTGGACTTGTGTTTGTACTTAAAGTGCTTTTGATAGTAATACTTTAACTTAATTTTGAATGCTTTTACCTTGAACCAAGTATTTCTACACTGTGGTGTTTACGACTTTTCTCTAAGTTAAAGATATGACTGCTTATTTTTTTGGGACAACCACTGCTAATACCTACTGTTAACTAAAGGCAACTCAAAACAACTCAAACTAAAGGTTTAAACGTTAACCTGGCGTTCGGCTCATGTTCAGGCGACTCTGTGCATGTAAACGTTCCACTGAGCAGGCTGGAAGTAGCAGAGAGGGTTATTGACACGGAATAAAAACAACAACACTGTCCAATAACCAGAGGTGGGAAGTAGTGGAGTACAAATACTTCGTTACTGTACTTAAGTAAATTGTTCTGGTATCAGTACTTTACTCCACTACTTATTTTTCTGACGACTTTTTACTTTGACTTCTTACATTTTGAACACAAATACCTGTACTTTCTACTTCTTACATTTTGAACACAAATACCTGTACTTTCTACTTCTTACATGTTGAACACAAATACCTGTACTTTCTACTTCTCACATTTCCCAAACAGGCTGGTTCCTTTAGTTTGAATGTGTGTTTGGTGGCGTGATCATTATTATTTAGAGTCATTGCGTGCCTATTGATTTGAACACGATCCGTGTATCCATCATTTCCTGGTCTTCTCTAAAGAAGAGGGACCAATGAAAACGTTGTCATGTTGCCGTTGTTCAGCATGGAAACATTCATTAGCTAACAATGACATTATTGTTCTATTAATATAAAGGGAGGTCAGGTACTCTTTAAAACAGCTGCTAGTTATGGGTACTTTTTACTGAAGTACATTTCAAAGCCCTCTTTACTTTTACTTGAGTAAAGAAGTTTAGTCAGTACTTCTACTTTTACCAGAGTATTTTTAAACACGAGTATCTGTACTTCTACTTGAGGAAAGGATGTGTGTACTTTTGACTTCTCTGCCATTAACCACCTTCTTTAAACCCTCAGATCCTCAGCGGCTCTTTCTCTCTGAAGAAGCCTCGTGGGACTCTGGACTCTCTGAAGGTGACGGTGAGGGAATTCAGAGAGACGTCTGTGACCGTCACCTCTCCTGGAGCCACGAGCGGCCGCCAGACAGCCTCCAGAATCTTCTCCTCTTCCTCTTCCTCCTCTTCCTCCTCCGGTCTGAGAGAGGAACAGTTCACCCTCTCCTGTCCTGAGGGAGACAGGAACACAGAGAGGAAGACTACAGAAGGACATTTATATGATATACTATACAATGACCTTTTTACGACTTTTCTTATGACATATTTTATGATTTTTAAACGGAATTTTATGATATATTATACATTTTTAATGGCTTTTTTTTTTTTAAATAACCCATTCAAAACTTTGTATCACTTGGTATACTATGGCTGTCACTGACTTTGTTTATGACATACTGTACTATTTCAGACATTTTCTTTTTGAAAGACTTACAATATACTAAACCTTGTTTTTTTATGACATTTAAAAAAGAATTATGGATTTCTTTATCACTTCGTAATGTATTTTTATGACATAATATACTATTACTTTTTACGTATTTTTTTGTTTATTTTATGGCTTTTTATAAAATGTCCTAACATACTATAACATTTATTTTTATAAAATGTCTTATAAGGCCTAAATGAAGCTCAGCGCAAGTTCTTTCAGGAAGACTGGGATACATTCACTCCGCAGCTGCTTATAATCAGCTCATCACGGGCTTTCTGTTAACCTATTACATTCACCTCAATCTCAGCAGCCAATCAGCGTGCTGCAGCCAAACTTTAAAATGGTTCCCCTCTCTCCTGCAGTCAGCGTGATTTCAGGTGTTCATGCTGCCGTCCACCTCCTCCCCATCCACCTCCTTTCATCACATCCAGTGCCAGGAGAGCTAATCCAAAGACCTCATCACATCCCCTCTTCATCCCATCTCCTCATCAAATCCAGATCTTCAGCATCATCACCAGTGTCTAGACCCCGGGGGGTTCCCTATATGCTCACGGCTGCATTTCCCCCTTTAGATATACGATTTCAGGATCGGGGTCTAATCGCCAAAGACTTAACATTTACAACTTATGGCATGTGTCAATAAATGTTCTTTAAACAAAATGAAGTCTCTCCTGATTGAAATGATCTTATGGCTTTTCTTTAGACAAGACTTTTTACATATTTTATGACTTTTAAACTGAATTTTATGATATATTATACTATTTTATTTTTCCATTTTGATAATCTTTTATCAATTTGTCATTGATGACATACTATACTATGACTTTTTCTAGCTTTTTCTGACATTTCTATCTTTTTCTGTTCTTCAGAGGCAGAGGGTGTTTCTCAATGTCGAGGAAGGATGCTCCAGAGCCACTATTTCAAGGATGCTACGTCATCGAGTCCCGCCGAAGGACTGTTCCAATGTCCAGGATGCTTGGAATTCTACCGAGGCCGGCGTCCTTCGTTGCGGCAAATTTCGAGGCTGCTCATGTGTATCCTCCGCGGTCTTAAAATCCCCACAATGCTTTGCGCACGGACCAATTTCCAAAATCTTTGGCGGAAAATGTAAGGCGGGGCCTCTCATATGACGCACACCTGCACACTTGCTCGCCTGTTCCATTCTTAGTTCTCCGAATGCCAGGAAGTATTCTTGCCTAGCTTCTTAAGCAACTGACTCAGAGGTACATGTCCTACCAAGGAGCCTCCTCGACATTGAGAAACACCCAGAGTGTAGAGTTGCAGTCAGTGATTGCATCAGCAACATCACATGTGATCTGTTATTGAGTTAACCTCTCTGCTCTGAGGAGAGATGAAGAAAGACGCTCTAAACTGAGAAGGCAGATCATCAGCAGACAGACATCAGGAAATATCTAGTGATGTCTTTCCTTTAAAAAGTGCAAAAAATGGGACATCTAATAAAAAAAAAACAATCTTTGGTTCAGAATTGAAATGTCAACGGTAACAAAGCAGAAAAACGTTCATTTGTATTGACATGTCATGATAGTCGTCACCTTGCAGAGCTCTTACATTTAAAGGGGCCCTATTATGCAAAATGCACTTTTTGATGTCTTTTATACATAAATGTGTGTGAGACTCACAACGTTTCAGAAAATACAACCCTCTCTCTTTTCCTCCTTACCCACATCTCTAAAAAAACAAAAACGGGGCTGCAAACCATGGATGTATAATAAGAACTGGATACAGCGTGGGAGGCGGGGTCTCGTTCTTTCCTATGAGAGCCGCTCATTGGCGCATGAAGACAAAATGGCCCAACTTTTGAGAGAGCGAAACGTCACAGATTACCCATCATGCCTAGCTGTCAGAGCAGAAGAACCCGGCGTGACTACCCGATTTACATGTCTGCCCGATTTGCACTGCGCAAGCCTGCCATATTGGGCAGCTATGTACGGCAAGCCAAACAGGACATTTGACGTCCGTACTGATCTAATAACAGAGTTTTGTTCTTGAATCAACTTTTTTTATGAAAATTAATTTCCCTTTTCCAGGAATCTCAACAGAAAAAGTTTGGCCACACTAATACATTTCTAATGTTAAAGGGGACCTATCATGCAAAATGCACTTTGTGATGTCTTTTATACATAAATATGTGTCCCCGGTGTGTCGGGGAACTCACGCAGCGTCAAAAAATAAAACCCTCTCTTTTCCTCCGTACCCAAATCTCTAAAAACGGGGCTACAACGGAGCTGATCCAGGGTCTTAGGGGTTTTCTGTTTCTGTCTTATCATGTCATTGTGTATTTTGGTTTATTTTTGTCAATGCTATTACTGTAATGGTCTTTACAGCACCTGCAATTGTACTCTGTATTTTCTCCTGTTATTGTGTTGCGTGGGAAAAACCAATTACCAGAAGAATACTGACACATACCATCTAAAGTGCCCTTTGCCATCACCTCCTTTACATCCTCCTCCTCCCCCTCCTCTTCCTCCCCCCGGCCCTCCCAGTCTTCGGCTGTGGGACTCCGAGGGTCGGAGTGAAGACACGTGAACTTTGACCTCCAGGTTTTGCTTCCTGGATGCTGCTCTGGTGTCTCTCTCCTCCTGCAGGAAGCCAACGAGCGCTCCTCTTCCTCAGGGAGCAGAGAGCGAGTCAGAGAGAGACGAAGACGAGGAAGAGGAGGAAGAGGAGGGTCGTCCGGAGACTTGTGAGCGCTGCGCAGATCCATGGTGTAAACCGTATCCTGAATATAAAGCAGAAGATAAACTGGATTACATGACGATTGGTGTGTTTAAAGAAGTAAAAAGTATTATTTATTTATTTTATTACAGGTCGCCTATTACACTGTTTTTCATCAATATATTACAGGTCTCAGATATATACAGAGCCTGTCTCTGATTGGCTGAAACACCAAACAGATCATTGCAGCATCCCATAATCCCCTCTGTTTCAGCCCTGTTTCCAAAGTGCTGATTCTCTGTCTGTTACTTTAGATGAAAATAAGGAGCCCCTCCCCACGCCCCTCTGAGAGATATTTGGTTACAAAGAACTCATTAGCCGCTTTCACACCAAGTACTTTTCCCAGGAATAGTTCCGATAGTTCCTGGGATTTTGCGTTCACACCAAAAAGATCTTGAACTAAAACTTTTTTTTGCGAACCTTTTCACCCCTTTTTAGTGCCTGCTAGAGAGGTGGTACTTACCTGGGGAGAAAAAGGTTCCTATTTCTGATTGGCTGGGCGAATTGCTAAACCACGCCCCGTAAAACTCTGAAACGTTTTTTGAAGCCGCCATTGTATTTGCTGCTGGGAGTCCCAGCAGCTTCTACTGAAGCCAGTCCCCAACTCCGGGGACTTCCGGCCGGGGACTTCGGGCGGCAGTATACGCCGTGAAGTTGTTTGCGGCCTGCCAGTAAACCCAAAGCAGAAGAAGAAGAAGTGACGTCAGCGGCTTCATTTGCCTAATCCACCCTCAGGGACTTATTCCGGTGTGAACGCGATCTGCTCTTTAGTTCATCGGAACTAAAGAGTTCCGATAAACTAAGTACGGCAAAGTACTTGGTGTGAAAGCGCCTATTGGTGCTCTAGGAGGAGATTCAGGTGATAAGGGGGGGGGGGGGGTTACCTTGGTTGGTGATTGGCTAATGGTTACACAAGCCAAAAAATCGTTATGACATCATAAAGTGGCCAAAATCTGATCAGCTCATTTTCAGACAGGTTTTTATAAAAATGGATCAGGACAAAAAGAGAGAGAATCTTTTTTCCTGAAACTACAGGAAAAACTACATGTTGATGTAGAAGAGACATGAAGAAGTGGATTTTGCACAATAGATGACCTTTAAGTCAGATTTCTACCTGCAGAAAGAGTCTTTTGGCTTTGGGTCCTTTCCTCCTGTGTCCCAATTGTTTCTCCTTCTGCTCTCTAAAAAAACCAATATATATATAAATAATACAAACAAATAATAATAATAATAAATAAATAAATATATAAACAATTATATAAATAAGAATAAAATCACTTCATTCTTTTATCCTTTTAGACATTATAATACTCAGGCCAAAAACACTTTATTTACCCCTAAAATGTAATTCATTTGTGCCGAATTTGAAGGAATTCCTGCTATGTAACCTGTTGTTAAGTTGTTAATGTACATTTACACTTAGAGTGTCTTATACGCAGGGGCGCTCCTTGCGAACAGGCAAGGCAGGCAACTGCTTGGGGCCCCGGACCAGAAGGGGGCCCCCAAAGAAGGTAGATTAAGAAGGTCCACAGCAACGACAACATGAAACACCCTTTAATTTACTGTAACGACATGTCGGGAAACCCCCTCAAGGCGGCCCCATGCATAGCGCGCCGTAAAAATGCTGCTTCTTATTTTAAGTTTTGTTGCCTTGCTCCGCTCCAGGGGGAGGGGGGGGGTTCGAAAAGCTGGTTCGAGGGGCCCCCAGTGAATGTTTGCCTAGGGCCCCCACCGCCTCTAGGATCGCCACGGCTTATACGTTTACTGTTATTGTTGTTAGCCATTTAAAATAAACAACGAAATGAAGACTTGTGTTTTGGAGCCTTACTTCTCCTCGTAGGCCTTCACTAAGTGCTGATCCAGAATATGTTCCTCTGGTTCCCATGTGCTGTACCTGCGAGAAGTGTCCAAAAACTCCATAAATACAGTATGTTTGACATAAAAAAGAACATTTTCCATATTTGTTATGCCACTGTATTTGTATGTGAATAAAAAACACATTTCCAACTCTCTCATTAGTTTTAAATGTGTAACTTACTTTGGAGGCCATCCTTTCCACTTCAACAGATACTCCACATTCCCCTGTGGAGACAAAACATGTCATTTAGATGCTAATTCCATAAATAACATCACAGAATATACCGTTTTTTTTCCTAATACTGCGTCATTGTCCCATCTACATGTGAATTCATAAAAAAAGCAATAAAATAAATAAATTTGTAGTCATTAAAGGTCACCTATCATGCTATTTTTAGGCAATAGCATAGGTCTCAGATATATAAAAAAAACATGTCTATGAAGTGTTTTGCTCAAAATACCAAACAGATCACCCATTCTAGCCATGCCTCATATCCCTCTATTTCACTTCCTGTTTCAAAAGTGCTGATTTGGGGTATAAAGCTTTACAAAAAAAAAAAATTGATAAAAATTTAAAAAAGGAGGGGGCTGAGCTCATGCGGGACCCGGCAGCTACTGTCTAAACTAAATACTGCCGTGATGAAACGCCATATCATGGATTATCAAGGATTGTTTCTGAAACAGTATGGAGCTCAAAGGCTTTCTCTCTTGCCGGTTATACCACAAGGTGAGTTCCTTTTTATTTCCTGCTTCTTCACACACATGCTCTCCAGTACAGGTTAGCTCTGAGTGTTAGCGATGCTAATGTAAACACCGACCATATTACGTCCAAAACAGTCGGGCATTGTTTCTGATAGCAACGTTTCTGATAGGGCCGTGGGTCCACATTTCAGATATTACGTCATATCTGACGCAAATCTGGATCAGCTCCGTTGTTCCCCCGTTTTTAGAGATTTGGGTACGGAGGAAAAGAGAGAGGGTTTTATTTTCTGACGCTGCGTGAGTTCCCTGACACACCGGGGACACATCTTTATGTATAAAAGACATCAAAAAGATAGGTCCCCTTTAAATGCTTCAAAACAATTCATATTTACCTTTAAATTCTTGCATTTTAATGGATTTTTGTGTAGGAGGATATTTCAAAGCCTTTCGAGTAAATCCACTTCCCTAATGACTTTATTTGCACCCTTCAGTATTTGTTAGATGACGTTAAATGTTCCGAATGTTTCCCATCCACCAGCCTCTCCTCTCAGAGTTAGTCACCCTCGCTGACATCATCCCATAATACCTTCAGAGGGTGAAGTCACCACATTTCCCGACTTTGTCTTACTCACCCAGTGTTGCAGTCAAAAGGAGCAATATTGGGTAAAACCTCAAATGCCCAAATCTTCCATAACATGCAATGGAAATCATGTCATTTACTTGTACTCATAAAGCCCAAATATGATGCTCTCTGTGTCCCCAAACCCCTCTCTCGATCAGGGTTTAACTATAGTGTAAATGTACTGTATTACTACGGTTAAATCACCTTTAACTTGAATATCACGGTGGGTTTTATCTCACAGTTTAACAGCAGTTTGTGGAGGACAGATTTAGTCCACATGTGGTTTCATCATCTGCCTTTCTGACTTTCACTTTATACATGAAGCCTTGTTTAAAGCCTCATCTCAAACCATTTAGAAGAGAATTAATGGCAAATAAATCTCCAATCTAATCAAATAGAAGTGTATTTAACTATTTCACTCATTTATCAAGCACAATCTAACTCTAAATGTGAGGATTGAAAATACATTGTTTAGACATTTTGCACATAAAGCTTTAATGACCTTCTAGCCGTGGGTATCTTCAGATTTCTATATCAGGGTATATACAGGAATCCTGAAGTCAAATGTAATCCCTTTTAAGACCTTTTTTAAGACCCTTTCCATACATTTTAAGCCCTCATCGCCACTTGGAGTTCTAACCGGTTACCTTGGCGACACACTTTACCTCACATTTACTATATACAGTATTGATTGTCCTTCCTCCTTATCTTCCAACCATTTGGACGCAGACTTGCATTTCCCCATAACGATGTTGTTTAACAACCGGCGTAAACGGAGCTTCGCGCGCTATCAAGCAGTGAGCGTGCGATGTCCTGTTCAGATGACGTCAAATCCAACGGGATGCCATAAATAAACTACACAGAATCACACTACACACCTACGCAATGATTACATTCAACTGTAGAATACTACCTCTTTGGACAATTTATATACTTATTGAAAACAAGCTACAAAATGTAATACCTTGGAAAATGCCGTTTAATACTTTTTAATAGCCTTCATTTTCGCTAAATTGATTGATCAACTTTTAATACTTTTGAAGACCCCGCGGACACTCTGTATATGTAGCACAGCGCCACATGTGTAATGTTTTTAATGTTATGTTGCCGGGCATATTATCTTCTAAGAGACTTCCTTGTAGTTTTTGTCACTATAGTCTATCTTTCTACTGATGCCAATTTGAAAAATGCTCTTAAGTTTTCTTGTGGAGCACAACTGCTTTCATTAAACAACCCTGTGTTGCAGAATGACAACACATTTCCTTACCTACCTATATGTATGACTTATACATCTGTTCGCAGTCTACATATTTATCTATATAGTATTACAATACACAGAGTTTTATTCCATGTAAAGTATTTAATTGTACATGTTTATAGTTTACTTTCTGCATTTTATTTGCACCGTTGTTTCTCTTGCACTCTTGTATTTCAATTTCTTCTTGCATTATTCTTTATTTACTTCTATGTCTTAAGTATTTTGTATATTGCACTGTATGAGGAGCTTGGGACTCCATATTTTCAATGCCAAAACAACACTGTAGCTATTTTGCATATAACAATACATATAGCCTTTGAAATAAATGCAATTAAAACTTGAATAAAAGCTAGCCTGCCTTAACTTTGGATCTTAGATTAAGCTATAGTTTTGCATACTTCAGAAAGTCTCTAAACTACATTTAATAATCATGCAATGTTAAATTAGAGGGGCCCTCATGCACTTTAAAGGACCCCAAATATCTAGCTGCACCCCTGCATGTGTCAACATATGCTAATTTAGAATGAACGCAACAAACAATCTGCTTTCTCCAAACACCTGACATGATAATCTGCATTCAACACATGAAAGAGACATCATCCTCCAACACTTAGATAACCAGATTACTGCCATTAATCTCTCTGCATTTCATTAGCATGCAAAGTAGCATTCTTAAAATAAGCTCCTAAATGTTGATAAATGTTACCTTCTTAACTCTTTTCTTCAGGATGCACTCCACAGCAAACACCTGCTCCCCTATAGCTGACAGCTCCATGTGTGTTACGTTTTCACCTGTCAAAGTAAAAAACTCCCGGTGTTTACAGACCGAGAGAACCGGGAGATGTTAGCGGTGCTTCGGCTGCGTCCTCCCCGTCTATGGAGCGTTATTTTCGGGTCCGTTAACCTGCAGACCCCTCTGCCAGCTGGATGTTTCGGAACAGTGACTTTACAAAATCTGCGACACATCTGCACACCGCTCTGCGCGCTCCCGTGTCCGTAAGCGCGCTCCCTTGTTTATAATGAGAACGAGCGCGCCACCAGCAGCCTCATGGTTCATTCAGGATGTAAGCAAAAAATAAATAATACAAATAAAAGAATAAAAATAAACTACATTAATTACTTAAAAAAAGACAAAAATTAAGGCGTAAAAATGTAAAATAGAAAATAAAACAATAAAAAGTAAAAATTACTTTCAGAGGTGGAATAACAGTCTTTGCTTAAATAAAGAGTTACAAGTACAATTATTAATATTGAGTATAATCAGCTAAATGTATTTAAAGTATATTTAAAAACCTAGTTGTTATTGTATAAACTGTTAGCTAGTTTAATAAAAAATATATATCATTTCTTTTTTTGGAAACATTTCAATTTAGATTTTTGAAGCTGTGTATAAAATGAAGTACGGTAAAACATGTAGTATTGTAGAAGTATAAAGAAACATAAAATACAAATAAAATACCTACAAATTGTATAAAAGCACGAGTAAATGTTATACATTAATTCCTCTACTGAAATAAACTCAACAATAACCCTGTGAGAGCAACAAATGACGGATGAAATACAAACACACTGTCGTTTATACATAAAGTGCCATTATAAGCATTTTATTTCTATGCCAAACATAAAAAAAATACAACAATATCAGGATTCCTTCAGTGGGAAGGGCTGAATGGATTGTCATGGCAACAAAAAAAGCACATGTTGAATAAATGCAACCGTGAGATATGATGCGAGTGGGTCCAGAAATCTCCAAAAGCAAATGAATGAAAACCTCTCTGATGCTTCACGTTGATATAACGCGACATTTAGAGCTTGAAGGTCCAAAGAAAATGACACAAAGCCCTTGGCTGCAAAAGTGAAAACATCATATTTAAATTATGTGATCTGATAAATTGGTGCTTTGGATTAAATCTCCTGATAAATGGCATCTTATTCTTTCAGAGCAACACATATATATATTTGAAATGTAAACAAGTTAAGGCCAATATCGTCGTTTAGAGACAATAGAAATAACAGTTTCTCTTGAGCTGATTTGAAAGCTACAAACAGAGGAATCTCTCGTAAGGCTCTTTTCACAGAAATCCACCAAAAAAAAACCACAAAATCTACTTTCCTTTTTACATTTCTCTACACCTAGGCACACTGCGCTTCATCTCCTCCTGAATCCACTTTTCTAAAACGTCCTCTTGCACATTTGAGACCCTCGATGAGTGTTTATGACCTCTTTCATTTTAAAGGGGCCCTATTACACTCAGTTTCAGGTTTCATATGTGTATGTAGTGTCTCTACTGTGACATGCTTTAATGCTCAAAAAGCTCTTTCTCATACTGCTTCTCATACCCCCCAAAAGCACGATAGGGCCTCTTTAAAAGTCCAAAATAACTCTCCCTGGGGCTGACATTTTTAAATTAGGTACGGTCAATTAATGTCATTTTGTAAGATTACATTTGAACAAAAATAGAAACACTTTCTCTTATCACCCTCATTTGAAATATATTACATCTAGAACCAATTTCAGTCCACATGAGTATCGTTAGCACAATAAACCCCAGATCTAGCTTTTGCAAAGTCACGCTAACTGTTTACATAAAGTACGGCACATTTCTGTGAGTTTGAATAATTAAGATAGAAGGTTTTTCTCCCTAATTAGATGTCTTCTTGTATTGTATGCAGTATAACTCTTAATAAGAGATGACAACCATTACGTTAGCCTTATTTCCTGTCCCCCTCTCTACTTTAGAGAAACCGTTTCAATGTGAACAATCACAGAAAACTGGATTAATGACGCCATTACTTCTAGGAAACTGAGTGAAAGATGCTCTGTTGCATAATATAAAACTGTGTTTGGAAAAGTGGATGAAATACAAAGTTGGCAACGTGATGAATCACTTGATTTTGACCTGTGATGAGATGAAAAAAAGAGGCAGAAAGGGCACGCTTTGGTGAAAGTGAAGGACGGGAAACACGTCTGTGGAAACATGGCTGAAGCCGGGAGCGTCACTGCGGATAATCAGCATTTTTCATAAACTCCCATCACTTTGGAAACAGTAAAAAGAAACAAAAACTGACATTGAAAAATAGTCAATATATATATATATATATAAAAACACAAGATTTGTATAAGTGTGTTGTGAGTACAGGACTGTGATTCTCCCTGTAAAGTGTTTGCTTCCTTCATTGCTTTGCATCCTCTCCGATAAAGAGTCCAGCAATGGCCGTGTAAACAAAACCTCAAAAAGAAATGGAGGAGAAGAACATCTGCATCCACGTGATTGGCTGTGCACGACTTCCTGTCCTGTGATTGGCCCGTTGAGAGCGGCAGGTTGAACCTGTTAGCCGTCCGTCCGCCATGTTTGGTGCGCCTCCACTTCCTCTGAGACGACCAATAGGAGCTCACAGTTCTTCCCTCGCAGCTGCTGCCGGAGAAACTTCCTGCCATGAGGAAAAATAGCAACGCCACTTATTATTATGATAATAAAACCCAAAAAAATCAACTGTTTTCCAGCAATTCGTATAGAAAACACTACTTGAAAAACATTTATTTTAGGTTAAAAACCATAGAAACTTATATTTAACATTATTTTGAGCACATTTAGGACATGTATAGCTACAAATATGCACTCTTAACAAATAATAGGGAAGATAATTACATGTTTTAAATATCTATACTGTATGCTGCATCTGTATAAAGGATAGACCTGCTTTAAAAGCCACTTATGGCGCATTTCCACTGCAGCGCGTAGCACGGTTTAAGCGTGCCGAGCCAAACCCGGCTCGTTTTTGGTTGCGTTTCCACTAGGCGTAGTTCCGGCTAACGGGTGCTTTTTCACAGTTTTTCTGGCCCTCCAAAATCGAGGTTCTTTCCGGGCCAACAACCGGGCTGAGTATGCTAAACTAGTGAGAGAATCGCTGGCAAGGGGGCTACAACTACAACAAAATGAACATATTTGACCGTGATTTAATTGTAATACACGTTTCAAAATGATGCCGAAGTAACAACATACTGATACCGGTTAGTCAAAACCATGAATTAATGCTTTGTCAAGTCTGCAGACAGACGGCAGGCGAAAAACCTTTAAAAATGCGTGTTTTCTGAATGGAGATTGGCTAAGCTAACGTTGTATATGCTCCGACCGTCCACACTCACAACAACGGCCTACAGACATAAATAAAGCAGCGACTGTATTCACCATGACACAGACAGTCTGTGGTTTGTACTTGTTTAACTGTTGTCTAGTTTCTGAACAGATATGAGGAGCTGTGAGCTCTGAGTGCTAACAGCTAACGGCTGATGTTTGGTTTTGTGGTTCGCATTGAAGATGACGTCACGGCTCCGCCTACACTGCGTTACTATAGTTACTGCCCCAGCTACTAAACTGTAATGGAAACGCAGCATAAAGTGAGCCTGGCCTACCAAGGCCTAACTATACCGTACTAAGCCGTGCGAGGCCCTGCAGTGGAAATGCGCCATTAGAGCCCCAAAAACACAACTCTGAAATATAATCACTTTCAAAATCTGCTATTCAAAGAGATGCCATGTAAAGCACATTTTCCCTGTTATTATTAATTATTGGCCACATAGCTGAATATGCAGTTTTAGTGACAAACTTAGTATTTATAGTATGTCTTAATATCCCTAATGTCCAGTAGGGGGCGACTCCACTGGTTGAAATAAGACGTCTGATTGTATAGAAGTCTATTAGAGAATTACCCTACTTCTCACTTGATTTTTTACATTAGAAAACATTTTAAACCTTAGTTTTCTGACCTGAATCAGTAGTTTAAAGACCTCTTTCATACTACATAATGTTCATTTTGTAAATAATGGTCCCACTTAGAGTAAAATAGATGATAAGGGTCCGCTTTAGGGCGGGGCTAACTTGTGATTGACAGGTCTCTCCATGATGTGGTCCCTGTTTTTGTCTCCGAACTGACTCAATTGTAAACCATTACATTTGTTTTCAGCCTAATTGCAACATTCTGGTTAATTGTTTGAATGGCTACGACCAATTTTTATATACAATATATGCTTTGTACAAAAGTTCGATAGACACACAAACAAAGAATCACTAAAACACACAAAAGGGGCGGGGCTAACTTGTGATTGACAGTTTGCTACCACAGTGTTTTCCGTGTTGTCATCCTTGAACTTTTACCCCTTTTATAGTTTGTTTCCAGTTCATGAAAAGTAATTATAGCATTTTGTTGCCTACAAATGTATTTCCATTGTCTGGTTGTACTCAGCTCCAGGCTTTTGTGTCCCTTCTGGTTGCAAAAAAACAAATGTGGTGACGGCTGAAATGTCAAATTCAAGACTTCAAAACCAGAGTCTATAAACTGTCATGATGGCTACATCTAATTCTATATAAAGTCTCGTCACAAAGGGTTACAGATTAACAAAAAACATCTTAAAATTACCACCACCAAAAGCTCCTGCATGTGACAGATGAATCCATTTAAAGGTCCCCTATTATACTGTTTTTCATCAATATATTATAGGTCTCAGATATATACAAAACCTGTCTCTGATTGGCTGAAACACCAAACAGATCATTGCAGCATCCCATAATCCCCTCTGTTTCAGCCCTGTTTCAAAAGTGCTGATTCTCTGTCTGTTACTTTAGATGAAAATAAGGAGCCCCTCCCCACGCCCCTCTGAGAGAGATTTGGTTACAAAGAACACAATGGTGCTCTAGGAGGAGATTCAGGTGATAAGGTGGGGGGGAGGGGTTACCTTGGTTGGTGATTGGCTAATGGTTACACAAGCCAAAAAAACATTATGACATCATAAAGTGGCCAAAATCTGATCAGCTCATTTTCAGACAGGTTTTTATATAAATGGATCAGGACAAAAAGAGAGAGAATCTTTGTTCCTGAAACTTTCAGAGTCTCTTTACACAGAGGGGACACATGTTGATGTAGAAGAGACATGAAGAAGAGGGGACACATGTTGATGTAGAAGAGACATGAAGAAGAGGGGACACATGTTGATGTAGAAGAGACATGAAGAAGAGGGGACACATGTTGATGTAGAAGAGACATGAAGAAGAGGGGACACATGTTGATGTAGAAGAGACATGAAGAAGAGGGGACACATGTTGATGTAGAAGAGACATGAAGAAGAGGGGACACATGTTGATGTAGAAGAGACATGAAGAAGAGGGGACACATGTTGATGTAGAAGAGACATGAAGAAGAGGGGACACATGTTGATGTAGAAGAGACATGAAGAAGTGCATTTTGCATAATAGGTGACCTTTAAATCCATAATTGATCTGAATCTCAACACACACACACACTCACCTGAGGTGGTCAGGCGCTCCGATTGGCTGAGGGCTGCGCAGCTTGGAGTCCAGGTTGTAGTAGACCCCCCCCACCTCCCTGACTCCCATCCAGTGCTGGCGTTTGAGCGGCAGCATCAGAGGACCCCAGCGCAGGTTAGACGGGACGTTCAGGATGAAGCCCGTCACGTTGGACAGCTCGATGCTGCCCACATCCCTAAAGGAGGAGGGGGGACTTATTATTCAGGTAAATGCAATGTGTTCAGCTCATGGATGTATAATAAGAACTGGATACAGCGTCGGAGGCGGGGCCTCGTTCATTCCTGAGAGCTGCTCATTGGCGCATGAGGACGAAAGGCCTGACATTCTCGAGAGCAAAACGACACAAATGACCCATCATGCCTTGCTGTCGAGAGCATAGAGCAGGGGTCGGCAACCCCTGGCACGCGTGCCATTGGTGGCACGCGTGCCAGGGGTTGTCGACCGTAACCAGTGGCACACTCGGAATAAGTGGAATAAGTGTGCAAAATATTTACATTTTATTTTCGGATCCTGAACGAGACCGCCGCCAGAGCGCGTCTCCCCGTTACCTGCAGAAGGAAGCCATGCACGCAGCGCAGCCCCGCTCTGTTTAACTCCAGGCGACTTTCTGCCGCTTTCCTCCGTGGTGCAGTGCTGATAATTTCACCACAGAGGAAAGCACTTCACAAATTGCAGTACCCATAAGGAGCTGTAAAAATGCCGCAGTTTTTGCGTGGCGATCGATATCGGCCGATACTCACTCTCTGCCGATCGATCGGTGCTCTCAAAGGCCGATCGTGAGACGGAAAATACATGACACTTTTCTCTGTGTGCGGCAAAACAAGCTCGCCAAAATCGCTTCACCAGTCTGGCAGTATTTTAAGGTGTCCGAAAAAGACAGTAAAATAGCGGTTTGCAACGTGTGTGAAGCAGAAATCCTGCAGCTCCACCCGCTGTGACGGACCGGTGAGCGGAGCAGAACACACAAGAGTTAGACCTAACACACTTAGCTATTTTATCTACCTCTGGAACAAGTTATACATATAATTATTCTTCACTGTCACTCATTACTGGATCAGTGAGCTGCAGGAAATACTGATGGGCTGTCAGGAGAGAGAGAGAGGGGGAGAGAGGAAAAGAGAGCGCTTCCGCTCATTTCTCCCGTGTTATTATCCAAAGTTAATGTAAACTTGAATAATGTACTTCATTTGAATGTAATAATTATGTTGGTTGTTGTTTTCTGGAAGCGCCAGTGAATGAGCCCCATTAACTGAGTTTTAAACATCACTTTTCACGAGTGTTTTCGTCGAGCTCTTCACACACACCCCCCCCCCCCCGTTGATAATTCACGATCGTCGGCACGCTGATAAAAAAAATGTTTTTGAATGGCACCTCATATCAAAAAGGTTGCCGACCCCTGGCATAGCGCATGCGCAGTTGAGCTTTCCCTTAAGCCCCGCCCCCCGAGCTCCCACTCTCGGCTCAGTAGAATGAATGGAGATAAAATAAATCTAGATTCGGCTTGTAGTGCATTTTACAACTTTAAGGACCGACTGATTCTAATAAGGGCTATGAAATAGTTCATACTGGGTAGTTTATTTAGTTTAAAAAAAGGTATCCGCTGATTTACAGACGTCTCTTTCCCAATGTTAGTCAATGGGGAAAAGTCTTTCTGGGCCCAGTGACGTCACGGACTGATACGGAAATTGTAGTACCGCCGTTTCGTCAGAGTCCGGAGCACTAGCACTAGCTTGGTTCAGCTACCAAGCTGACATTACGTTATAATTGTGTGGTTTAGTACCAAATTTTGTCAGAGGGATCCTATATTTGGAGAGTATTGGGAGACATTTTGACTGTCAGAGTTTCCCGTAAGCAATCAAATGCAACACAAAGGGAGGTATAATAATAACAATCATTACCATGACCAAATCTAAAGCCCTACAATGACATATATATATATAATCTTTAATGACATTCTTCACTGTGTTGCATCAATCAGCTGTTACTGTCTCCAGATTAAGAGTCATTTTGTTCCCGTTTAGGACACAGAAACAGGAATAAGGCTCTGCTGATAACATTATCGTTTTACTGATAAAAGCGTCTGCTGAGGGAAGCAGGAACGCTGATACATCTCAGACTTTGCGAGGTGATGAAACAGCTGACTAATCACAGAGATCATGCTAACGAGGACACTTTGTCTACCTCATGTTTACTCAGTGGGAGTCAAACCAACAACAAGATATGTTCTGCTGCTAAGGCGTCTCTTTAGCAAAACAATACAAAAAGACAGAGTTTGTTGACATTACGAAACAGCGTGGGATCATGGGAGTTTTCGTCTTCACCACAATTGTCGTCATTGCAGTCATTTTCTCGTGGTTGGGATTTTATTTTCATACTGATAGTGGATTTATGCTCTCCAAAACAAACAGAAGATTGTGCCTTTGTATATAATAAAAAGTATTACTAATGAAGATTTGAATAATGTCCAGACATGAGCGTATGTATCTAAGGTACAAAAAGTGTAATTTTGTAAGCATATCTATTGTAATTTGTATTTTTTCAGTAAGAAATTAAGATAAAAACCCTAAAATAAGCTGTTTTACGTCACCGTTTGGCTGCCTCGGATAACTTCCAGACGTCTAATGACTAAAATCCTACATGAGGATATAATATAAAGTTAAAAAAGACCAAGATCTTAAAAAAGTATGGTAGAAATGCAGCTTAAACTGTATAAAAGGGCACTTTCTGATAGCTTCTGCAGGGGATACAACACTATGACAATAACAGATTTCCCTAGGTTTGAAAAGTGTTTGAATCATTCGGGGAAATGTAGGTAGAGTAACCGAAAATATATAGCAGAGGTTTAGTACTTTTTTATAAATGTTAAATGCCAAAAAGTTACATATGATATGTATCAGACTGCAAGGAATCTGGGTGTGACCCTAGATAACAACCTGTCCTTCACTGCAAACATCGCTGCAACAACCCGCTGCTGCACAGCCCCTAGTAGACCCCCCCCCTCCCCTACACACACACCACAACACAGACTATATCACCCCTTGCTGCTAAATACCAATCAACTATGTGCAATATGTATATGCCGTTAATAACTGTGTAATTTATACCTGGCTGCTAAGTCCTTAGAACCGTTACAAGGTGTGTATTTTGCATTTTGTAAATTGTGTAACTTGCTGCTGTTAAATACCATCAAACTATGTGCAATATGTGCTATATGTGCCATATGTGCAATATATACATTATATACATATGCCATTAATAACTGTGTAATATATACCTGGCTGCTAAATCCTAAGAACTGTTACAGGATTTGTATTTTGAAAAGTATGTCACTTCTTTTTTTTTACTTTTTATTTGTATTATATCATAACTTACTTTTTTTAACATATGTAACATTAAGCTGTCTGTGGCTCTTTCCTGCTGTGGGACTAATAAAGGTATTCTGATTCTGATTTACAACATCAGGAGGATACGTCCCCTCCTGACCCAGAAAGCGACGCAGCTTCTGGTCCAGGCTCTCGTCATCTCACGCCTAGACTACTGCAACTCCCTCCTGGCTGGTCTACCTGCATGTGCCATCCGACCTCTGCAGCTCATCCAGAATGCAGCGGCTCGTCTGGTCTTCAACCTTCCTAAATGTTCCCACACCACACCGCTCCTCCGCTCCCTTCACTGGCTTCCAGTAACTGCTAGAATCCACTTCAAGACACTGGTGCTAGCGTACCATGCTGTGAATGGATCTGGCCCTCCCTACATCCAGGACATGGTTAAACCATACACCCCAGCACGTGCACTCTGCTCTGCATCAGCCAAACGGCTCGCTGCACCCTCACTGCGAGGGGGACCCAAGTTCCCATCAGCAAAAACACGTCGGTTTGCTATCCTGGCTCCAAAATGGTGGAATGAGCTCCCCATTGACATCAGGACAGCAGATAGCTTACACATCTTCCGGCTCAGACTGAAAACTCATCTCTTTCGACTCCACTTCAAGCAATAGAATTACTAACAAAGCACTTATATACTAACAAAGGACTGGCTTATCTAAAGCCTGTTGAGTAGCACTTGAAATGTTTTGGCTCTATGAAACCTGATGTACTTATATGATTCTGTTTTCTTCAAGTTTGTATCTTCTTGGTCGAATGCACTTATTGTAAGTCACTTTGGATAAAAGCGCCAGCTAAATGTAATGTAATGTATTAGTTGATGGAAGTTTCCCGCCCGTCTTACCTTCTTTTATCCCACCAAACGGCCTCGAACCCGCGGGTCTGCAGCGCCGCCATGATGACGTTTACATCGTAGTTCCCGTTTCCCAGCATGCTCTTCTTGTGCGGCGTCACCAGAGTGCTGGGAGAAAGCCTGTCGACAGAGAGAGAAATTAGGAGATTATAAACGTATATAAGTACACAGAAGAAATATTTAAATAAGGTTTCCCTCAACTGTGTTACCCTATTTCCATTTCATTGTTAAAACTGTTTGAAAATATGAATAGTCTGACCTTTATAGCCATATATCAAATAAAGTAGAGCCCATTTTTGAGCTTTGATCAGTCAACAATCACATGTAAACAAACGTATGTACTGCAGCTTCCCTTACACACTGTCGCATGCAGGATTCATACAAGTGGGTCATACTAGATCTACAAATACTAAAACTTCTCTCTGTTTTGCAAAGGATTGTGGGATAGAGATGTGACCAGTAGGACACCCTGGTATTTATGGCATACTATGCATTGGGTATATTAAATCGTACGGTAGTTTGGGTTTTGAAACACAGGGAAAATGCATTGAGAGATGAAGTCTTCTTTACAAAATTAAGTAATTTTTTTTTTTTTTTTAAATTGCATTTGTTTTGTTATAAACTGGAGAAATTGAACATGACACTTATTATTAATTAGAATTCAATCCAGTTACCGGGGAAGAGTCTAATCTGCTCTGTGTCCCTGAATAGCCTCAACATCCTCTGGGTCAGGCCGACTCCATGAAAAAAAAAAACTGAAACAAATTGAAATAAGAGGGGGCGGAGCTTATGCCGGCTCATGCGGGACCTGGCAGATACTGTCTAAAATGCTGCGGTGATGAAACGCAAGGATTATTAGATCAAGGATTATTTCTGAAACAGTATGGAGCTCAAAGGCTTTCTCTCTTGCCGGTTATACCACAAGGTGAGTTCCTTTTTATTTCCTGCTTCTTCACACGCATGCTCTCCAGTACAGGTTAGCTCTGAGTGTTAGCGATGCTAATGTAAACACCGACCATATTACGTCCAAAACAGTCGGGCATTGTTTCTGATAGCAACGTTTCTGATAGGGCCGTGGGTCCACATTTCAGATATTACGTCATATCGGACGCAAATCTGGATCAGTTCCATTGTTCCCCCGTTTTTAGAGATTTGGGTACGGAGGAAAAGAGAGAGGGTTTTATTTTCTGACGCTGCGTGAGTTCCCTGACACACCGGGGACACATAGTTATGTATAAAAGACATCAAAAAGTGCATTTTGCATGATAGGTCCCCTTTAATATCCTACACAAATCTGAATCTCAATATAAAGTTATATTCCCAAAAGCATGGAAATACAGTATATTCCCCCATTAGATTGTGAACATATTGTTACCCAAGAGACAAAACAATCGATACTTTAAACTACTCCTTTCTTCCAATTTCAACCTCATTCCAGTTGTGAAAAAATACATTTTACACAACTTTTCCCACACTTTTGGTGCCCCTGGTAACCCCGGCTCTCCCACCTCTGGTAGATCTCCTGCAGGGCGTCCCTGCTGAAGGCCGTGCCGTCCTGGAAGACGTTGTTCAGGGCGTGAAGGGCGCACAGCTCCCGCCGCTGCTTCTCATGATAAATGGGCGGCGGGGTCAGAGGGGGAGGAAGAGGAGGGGTGAGGGAGGAAGAGGAGGACGAGAGATCCTGCTGAGGGTCCGTGGGATCCCTGCACCTCAAAGAGCCAAAGATGAAAGGCTTGATTGACATGTTATGCACAGCTACAGTAGTCTGGCAGCACTGTGAACACAGAAATGTTGAGTAGTCCAAAGTTTTATGATAGAAAGGGGATGATATCTTGCATATGTTGGGCAATTTGCACAATTAACATAAGTTGCATTAATTAGCAATAAAAAGCAACTGAAGACAATAGTAAAAGAAAATGGCTTGTTCGATTTGGAACATTTTGGAGTGGTTTTGGGGGTTATTGAGTCAATTTCTGACATTTTCAGGATTTAATATGGCAGTTTTAACAAGATAGTGGCCATACATGGGGCGAAGCCTGCGAGCTAGTTCAGGCAGTCAACTCGAGCACCAATCATACATTAACATGTGACGCACCTCGTCCCACCACCACCCCAGCTTCCCCCCCAGCTTCCCCCCCAGCTTCCCCCCCAGCTTCCACCCCAGCTTCCACCCCAGCTCCCACCCCAGCTCCCACCCCAGCTCCCACCCCAGCTTCCACCCCAGCTTCCACCCCAGCTCCCACCCCAGCTTCCACCCCAGCTTCCACCCCAGCTTCCACCCCAGCTTCCACCCCAGCTCCCACCCCAGCTTCCACCCCAGCTTCCACCCCCAGCTTCCACCCCCAGCTTCCACCCCCAGCTTCCACCCCAGCTTCCACCCCAGCTTCCACCCCAGCTTCCACCCCAGCTCCCACCCCCAGCTCCCACCTGTAGGCTCGGGGGATAGTTATCTAATCATCACTCAATGTCCTTTGTAAATCTGTGGAGTGATGAGGCCCGAGCCTAGACGCCAAACTCAAACTATATGCTGCTTCTAATACACACATTAAGAAACACGTGAGTTGTCTGACTGAATTGTGATTAATTTTAAATTTTCCGAATCAGAAACAGGTTTATTACCAGGTAGGTTGACACGTACGAGGAATTTGACTTGGTGTTGTGGTGCATACATAAAAGTAAAACAAAAATAAAAAAACACAGATACGGTAGTGAACTATTTTAAGAACACTAACACTTTAGGGGACTCATTTTTTACCCTTAAACTGTCAGAAATAGATTCAACATCCTCATTCTACCTCAAAAGCCACGCCAAGATTATCCAAATCAGCCTACCATTTTTTCACTGTTGTCTGCATATGCTAATTAATAGTAAACTTATGCCAACCTAACCAAGTTAGCATCCGGCAGTTTGTAATTACTGGGGACCCATACTAAACATTACTTCCATAAAACTTTGTGGTACCAAACATTTCAAGGTTCACACTGCTGATAATAGAGAAACATGTGATTACCTCCTCTCCTCTGCTGCCTCCCCTCCTCCTCTACCTCCGCCTCCTCCTCCTTTCTGCTTGCTGACCTTCCAGCGCATGCAGCCCAGCTCCTGAAGGCCTCCTCTCCCCTTCCCCTTCCACTCCCCCGCTGGATATGGAGCGCTGCCCATCCCCAAACGTTCACCTCCTCCACCTCCTCCTCCTCCTCCTCCAACACCTCCTTCTCCTCCAGCTCCACAACTACCAGCTTCACGACGCTACATCAGCATGGGAGAAAGCCTGCAACAGGTTAACAAAAAGAGAGAAATTAACAGGTTATCTACAAGATGTCATAAACACAAGCTCAATATTGCCATACTACTGTATAAATGGGCATCATACAGGGTTCCCACACATTTTTACTAGTAATTTTTCCATAATATGTTAATTTCTTTGTACTGTTACATGCAGTATTCATATAGTTAGGACTAGATCTTCTTATCCTTCTATCTGCTTTACAAAGGATTGTAGGTCAGGATAGCATGCTGCTTTCTGCAAAATGACCAGTATGACATCCTAGTATTTATGGTATATTGCATTTGATGTACTCCTTTTTGGAGTATACCCAGAGGTGGGAAGTAGTGGAGTACAAATACTTCGTTACTGTACTTAAGTACATTTTTCTGGTATCAGTACTTTACTCCACTACTTATTTTTCTGACGTCTTTTTACATTTTGAACACAAATACCTGTACTTTCTACTTCTTACATGTTGAACACAAATACCTGTACTTTCTACTTCTTACATGTTGAACACAAAGACCTGTACTTTCTACTTCTTACATTTTGAACCCAAATACCTGTACTTTCTACTTCTTACATTTTGAACACAAATACCTGTACTTTCTACTTCTTACATTTTGAACACAAATACCTGTACTTTCTACTTCTTACATTTTGAACACAAATACCTGTACTTTCTACTTCTTACATTTTGAACACAAATACCTGAACTTTCTACTTCTTACATTTTGAACCCAAATACCTGTACTTTCTACTTCTTACATTTTGAACCCAAATACCTGTACTTTCTACTTCTTACATGTTGAACCCAAATACCTGTACTTTCTACTTCTTACATGTTGAACACAAATACCTGTACTTTCTACTTCTTACATTTTGAACACAAATACCTGTACTTTCTACTTCTTACATTTTGAACACAAATACCTGAACTTTCTACTTCTTACATTTTGAACCCAAATACCTGTACTTTCTACTTCTTACATGTTGAACACAAACACCTGTACTTTCTACTTCTTACATTTTGAACACAAATACCTGTACTTTCTACTTCTTACATTTTGAACACAAATACTTGTACTTTCTACTTCTTACATTTCCCAAACAGGCTGGTTACTTTAGTTTGAATGTGTGTTTGGTGGCGTGATTATTATTATTTAGAGTCATTGCGTGCCTATTGATTTGAACACGATCCGTGTATCCATCATTTCCTGGTCTTCTCTAAAGAAGAGGGACCAATGAAAACGTTGTCATGTTGCCGTTGTTCAGCATGGAAACATTCATTAGCTAACAATGACATTATTGTTCTATTAATATAAAGGGAGGTCAGGTACTCTTTAAAACAGCTGCTAGTTATGGGTACTTTTTACTGAAGTACATTTCAAAGCCCTCTTTACTTTTCCTTGAGTAAAGAAGTTTAGTCAGTACTTCTACTTTCACCAGAGTATTTTTAAACATGAGTATCTGTACTTCTACTTGAGTAAAGGATGTGTGTAATGCAGCCATCTCTGGGTTTACCTAATAGTGTGGTAGTTTTGGTACCTAAACGCACGGACAACGCATTGAACGATGCAGATTTCTCTACAAAATTGACTACATCTTGCCTAATTCTGAGCAGATTTTTAAATGAAATTTGGTTAACTACCAGCTTCCCGATCAGCATCATGGCAACCATTACCAGAGCAACCTCCCAGCCGAGGAGAGGAGCGGGGGGGGGGGGTTTAACACCTGCTCTCTAAAGGGTAGACGTGGAGAAAAGGTCAACAGGAACTCAAGATGATGGAACTGCCAGCAAACAAAGATGCTCCCGAAGCGAAATGACGATTACTCCACAAAAGAGGTGTGTGTTTCCACTTCCTCCATCTCCGGTTTGCAGCTGTTTCCATACGAGACTAGAGATTCGCAGGTATTTCCATCGACCAGGAGGGGTCGGTTCCTCTGGATTCAACAAGGATTCGATGCTTGGAGTCAAAGAAACCTGAAAAAGACAGAAAGAGAATCTGTGTTATTAGGATCTGCTTCAAATATCTAAAACTAACCAGAAAACGGGAACTCTCACTTATTTTAAATCAAGACTTTTCTATTTTCTTTGGATTAAATCAAACAATTATTAATATTTTACACAGCACTGTAACTTTGATTGTTGTATTTTAAACTTTATTCTATTTTAGCTTGACTTCATTTCTATTTTCTTGGCTTTAAAAAGGTATTTAAATGTCTTATTATAATGCGTTTATTTTGTTGTAATGCTTTAATATATTATGTTTCTATAACTTCTATATAAATAAACTTGCCTTCTCTTACTTGTTGTTGTAATTTGGTCATTTGTAACTATTCTTTTCTGTTTTAAAATGTCTAAAGGCGTACATCTTAAAGTAAATTAGTCATTTTAAACCTTTGTTAAATCTATTTACATTTCTTTTTACAATGTGTTTCTTTCACACTATGTCTTAAAGCTATTTTGATAAGCTTGCCTTGCCTTTCTTTTTACAATATTGTATTTAAGCTATTTTAAATAACAACAAATTGGTCACAAATCCCCACCACATGTTAGCAGAGCCCAAAATGACACCCTAACTGAGTCTGATTAGCATTTTAACACCTCAAAAACACTTCAAATCACCTCTTATTTTAATTTAAACTGGTTTTAGAAATCTGAAATGACAGTACAGGCTGGTTACAATCTCCTCCTGTTCAGCAGACCCTTAAAAGAGAAGGTAAACATTTCCAGGACTGGGTAGAGGAAGCAGTCTGTTCAGTAAAAATAGCCCTAACAATTATCACAGCGATCCTACAGTCCATTAACAGCGATTAAACACAAACATAACACATGCACACATGCTTTTAATCCATGATACTAACAGATATGTAGCAACAATCCTCAGGCTGCTTTACGTGACTACAGCAAACACAACCACAACGCTTCCTTTATGTCTTATAACTTCATTTTTTCAGCAGAGACCACTCACCTGTCCGCTTCCTGGTGGTCCTCGAACACCTTGGCTATTATAAACCGGTGTAAAAAACTCAATATAGTGTCTCCTGGTTCTGTAAATGTGTCTCAGTCCTTTGTCTTTGCCAGTTTTTCCTCAATTCAGCTCTCTTGTCTGTTTCTGGCCGTGCACACGCGGACATGCGCAGAAGCGTCTCCTCCTCGAGCTCCATGTTGCTGTCAGCGCGTGCGTCAGTAGACAGAGGAACCTCCCAGCCAGGAGAGAAACCCGGATTAACTCACCCTGTTGGATAGGGCGTGTTGAAACCATAGACTGTGGTTGAAACTGCATTTAAATAAAGTAAACTGGGTCTATGCACAATGCAACACAGCGAGACTATGAAAGGAAGTGAAAAGAATATAAACTCTACATAAATGCACTTTATTATGACCCCATTGTTATTACTGGTACTTAAAAAAGGAAATTAACTCAATATGATCACCATGTATGAGCGGTAAAGACTAGACCCCTATTAGTTCCCTAAATTAATTGGATTTGTATCTGTTATTATTTGTTTTTAATCATTGTTCATTTTTTAAATTACGTTATTTATTATTTTAGCTTTTTCTGGTTGCTGTTGTTTAAAAAAGTAAATTAAAATAACTTAAAAATATGATCACCATTTGACTACACCCCCTATTTCCTCCCGCCCCCCCTATATTTATTCTTATTTGTTTTATTTTCATTTATTTATCTTTGTGAGCTTTCTCCGGTTGTTGTTGTTGTCATATTGTCATACTGTCTATACATATAGAGTATACATAATATGTGATCTGTTGACAATATGATGTAGAAAGCAACAACATAAATGCAATCTATGAAATAAATCTATGATAGATTTTAATTCAATTTAAGCGTCTCCATATTAAAGTTCATTTCCTGGTCTAAATGCTGTTTCAGATTCCTCTGGAGAGAAACAGAGGAAACACTGAGCAGTTCTGCTGACTGCACTTTATTCCCCCGGTCATCTTTAAAGTTTGATATCTTATGAATTATGAAAGGTAGGTCGACACAGGAACAGTGGAAGAAACACACAGGCCTTAATAAAAGAAGATACACACATCAGGGAATTAAAACACATCCGAAAAATGAAATAAAATGTATGTTTGCATAATATCTTAGTTCTTTAATTAACGTCTTTTGTTTGACATTTACATTAAAATAACATGACATTAGTACAACTACACATCGTACGCTATAATGCATTTTAGAAAAGAAAAGAGAAAATTCATCCACCTCAAAGTAACGGGTAACATAGACCTTCATAGAAATGCACTGGAGTCAAAAATACAATATTTGTCTTTGAAATCTAGTGGCGTAAAAGTAACACATATGTACTTAATTCGAGTACTTAAGAAAATGCATTGTGTTACTGTCCACCACTGCATAGACATCTTATTTAAAAATATCTTAAAGAGACCCTATAGTGTTTTTTGGGGTTTTTCCCTCTCCTGCTGTGTTCTATAGGTTTCTGTGCATGTAAATGGTCTGCAGGGGCTAAAATCCCCTGTGTTCCCTCCATTGAACCTGAAAATGAGCCCCTTTGTCACTATTGTGTCAATATTCCCAGGTTGAAAGTTTTGCTAATTTGGAAGAAGCCCAGTGTGATCTATTCAATAAAGCTAGGTAATAACATAAGCAAAGTGAAGTTGTCACTGCGTCTTCGCAAATGTATAATGATGCAAAGATGGATAGCATCCCATAAGCAATGATGCAAATAGATGTTTGATGTGGGCATGATATCTAACCCAAAGTATCTGCGGCATGTTGAAAAACCAGAAGGCGACCGGCGGTAGTAAATTCATTTGGACAGAGGTGAACCAGCACTGACAAAAATACTCTCGGTGAAGCATCAGCCTTGCACTTAAATTCAAAATTGCATGTTTAACACTTGACTGAATCCTCGCACACACACACACACACACACACACACACACACACACACACACACACACACACACACACACACACACACACACACACACACACACACACACACACACACACACACACACACACACACACACACACACACACACACACACACACACACACACACACACACACACACACACACACACACACACACACACACACACACACACACACACACACACACACACACACACACACACACACACACACACACACACACACGTGTCCCCTCTGTGTAAAGAGACTCTGAAAGTTTCAGGAACAAAGCTTCTCTCTCTTTTTCTCCTGATCCATTTTTATAAAAACCTGTCTGAAAATGAGCTGATCAGATTTTGGCCACTTTATGATGTCATAACGATGTTTTGTCTTGTGTAACCATTAGCCAATCACCAACCAAGGTAACCCCTCCCCACCTTATCACCTGAATTTCCTCCTAGAGCACCATTGTGTTCTTTTTAACCAAATCTCTCTCTGAGGGGCGTGGGGAGGGGCTCCTTATTTTCATCTAAAGTAACAGACAGAGAATCAGCACTTTGGAAACAGGGCTGAAACAGAGGGGATTATGGGATGCTGCAATGATCTGTTTGGTGTTTCAGCCAATCAGAGACAGGCTCTGTATATATCTGAGACCTGTGATATATTGATGAAAAACAGTATAATAGGGGACCTTTAATACTCAAGAGGCAGTTTCTCAGCAAGTGCAGAGGTCATGTCATTGAGCAGCTCCTCCCTGATGCTCTCCTCTCTTTTCTGCAGCTCGTGGACGAAGTGGCCCTCGTTCTGAGACTCCACCTCCATCACAAGCTCCATCACCTGCCTGCGTATCTTCTTCAGCTCCTTCGGGATCGTGTTTTCCTCAATCCGGAGCCTCAGAAACTTCCTAACAGCCATGTAATTGAAATCTGGATTAGGCAATTCATCCCGGTGGTCTGGCTGGATGAGCACTGGGATGATGAAGCCTGCTGTCTCTGCTCCAAACGTGTTGATGGTGGTTAGGATCGCATTCATTATATCATGGTCGACTCCAGGTTTGGAGCCAGATGCTTGGACCACCAGCAGGAAGGCGTGAGGTCCCGGTCCGCACAGCTGGAGGCTCCTCAGAGCTTCCCTCGCTCTCTTTTCCGGCACCAAAGAGGTCCCTAAAACATCCGGGGTCTCCACCACTACCACCTCTCTGCTGTCTATCACTGTGGATCTCCTGGTGCTCTCCATCAGCTGGCCCTTGGATGCATGTTTCTTACTTTTGCCCAACAAAACGTCTGTAAGAGAGGTCCGTCCTCCCCGCGTCAGCCCCAGAATGATCAGCCTCAGCCCCGGTTTACAGGCGCCGCTGCTGCTGGGCTCCATCTCTGACCCTGCAGAGGATTTTATAAGATGGTTCAAAGTCAAAGTCATTGTCAATCTTTCAGTTTGTGTGTACAGACAGAGAGATCGAAATATCGTTTCCCACAATCCCGAATACAAAAATACAAATATATATAAAATATGTTTATCCTATACACAATCAACAGACACATTTATACATATGCACACATTAAAGGTCCCATGACATGCTTTTCTGCAGAGTCACAAACCCTCAAAGTACACCCTGTAGCGAGTAAAACTCTAACACAGAAAATACCTGTCTATGCTGCCCCAGAACGCCTCGTTGGAGATTTCTCTTTTTCCATCGTTTACTTCTTGGGTATAGTGACGTATTTCGGGTATAGTGACATAATGTAACGGCTCCGCAAATTGGTCCAAATTGACCAATCCGCAGAGCCGTTACGTTACGCCCGAGGAGCTGTTACGTTTGGACCAATCCGCGGACTTCCTCACACACACACACTCGGCGGGACGTTGCGAGGCTCGCTGCTGCGAGGAGCGGGACACTGTGAGCTGGCTCACTGGTGTGGGGTCGGCGAGACAGCGAGACACCGCGGAACTCAGCCTGGGCACACACACAAACTCCCAGCCAGGCTGCGGGTGTGTGTGTGTGCCCAGTGCAAGACTGTCCATAGCAGCGTAAAAGGTGTCTGGTGCTGGAATGAAGAGCTACAGGAGAGAGTCCAAAAACCTGGAAATAAGTTAGTGTTTTTGCACTTCTGCGTTCCTCATCACAAAGTCAATGGGTTTTTGTTTAATGAGTAATATACAGTCTTTGGTTAACACAAGCTGAGGAGATTTTAAAGGGGTCCTTTTATGCTTGTTTTATCCTTTAGTGTGTTCTGTAGGTTTTCGTGCATGTAAATGGTCTACAAAGGTTTAATTCCCTGTATACAGGACATCGCTAAGCGGTTGACCAATCACAACAGCTAAATATGATGCATTTTTAGGTTTCCACGGAGATCATTTTCTATAATAATCCAAAATCCAAGGGAAAATCCTGTTGGCTTTTTTACAAGGGAACCAGGCAGAAGTAAATGAAGCAGGAACGACTGTTTTTTTGGCCAAACTGGGCCAAAGTAAATTAGTTTTATGTTTAAAATATCATAAATTCAACAGGAAAAAACATTAAAAAGTATCAAAAAATGAAGGTGAACTCACCTAAGATGACAGCAATCAGCCACTTGAACTTGGAGGAAGACGCTGATGGAGAAGCAGATTTAATTATAGGCTTATAATTATCATGTAGCTTGAGCTCGGTCCACTCAAACGGCTGTCAGCTGCTGCATTTCTGAGTCACTTCCTATAACTAACATCCATTTCAAAACTGAACATCTGAATCTGAATCAATCAATGCAGAGTATCCAACACCTGTTTGAAACGTCATGCTAAGCTATTAAGCTAATGGCATGTAAAGCCACAGAGAACACTTTTTTTGAAAGTCTTATTGGCAATAAACTTGCTAAATCAAAAAATACAAAAAATACAAATACAAATAATATTAAAATAATAATAATACAAATATACAAATAAATAAATACAAATAATAATAAAAAACAGGTATATTCAAAATAATGAATACAAAATTATAAAGAATTATAATAATAAACAATAATAATACAAATTATAGTATCGTCTTTTGCAGGCAACTTACATCCTATGAAACACCAAATTCGAGACAGCCATTTACACAGGCCCTGGATTCCTGTCACACAAAAACAAAATAGCACATTCATTATTTTATTTTGGAGCTGAAACGTTGGTATTCCTCTGGTTATTATAAACTTGATTACGCACCACGAAGGGTTCCCACTAGATGGCTCACCCAGCTCCACAGAGTTGACACTCCTAAAGCAAGAAAGACACACATTCATTGATACAAATGTCCAATCATACACACAATAAATAACCGTATACAAATAGGACAAAGTGACCTCTGACCTCTCTGTGACTGAACTCACCCGTTAGAGAGCAGAAGATACGAATCGGCCACCTGATCAGAGCCGGCAGCGCTGCAGAAGAACAGAAAACTATCAGTGTTGAGGTCAGCATTGATCCACTGGCGGTTTGGCTGAACATTTGAAAAGTAAATCAGCTGTTGTATGTTGTAGAAATGTGTGTTTTGGATCAGTAAGTGTGTGTACTGTACATGCCTGTTAAATCATTGACATGTCACTAAGAATGGAGGGAGATAAGCTGCTCTTATATCAGGAGTGTCTGGTCTGATGAAAACCACTTGTTAATTATTCACCAAAGTTTGATCTGCTATACATTTTAGAGTATTGACATGTCCGAGGGCACTGTTTCACTAATTTGATTATTGCCCATTATAAAACAGCAATGAAATGGCTAATGCTATACTCATATAACTCATACATATGCGGAAAATTATAATGCTATTTTGGAAATCAGCATACATTATGATTTTAAGAAAGTCCCCAAAGAGCCTCGGTACTTTCTAGTTTCCAGAGTTGTTCATGAAGCCATGTCCCATCAGGGAAATAACACAGCAGGTATATTACATTACAAGTTACTTGTTAGACGCTTTTATCCAAAGTGACTTACATACTCAATACTGTGGGCAATCCCCACAGGAGCAATTTGGGTGAAGTGTCTCAGGGACACAACGACATGCTGACTGCAGTGGGGTTTGAACCTGTGACCCCCTGATCCGAACACCAGCGCACTTACCCACTGCGCCACACGCCTCCTGTATATGAATTTATTTGTGTGTGTGTGTGTGTGTGTGTGTGTGTGTGTGTGTGTGTGTGTGTGTGTGTGTGTGTGTGTGTGTGTGTGTGTGTGTGTGTGTGTGTGTGTGTGTGTGTGTGTGTGTGTGTGTGACTGACTCTGAGAGAATCTGTAGAGAAGATACCCGACCACAGTGAAAGTTCCCATCTGCATGTTCCACCAGCCTAAGAGGGAAACACGACGTCAGTTATGTTGTACAAACTAAACGTTTAATTAACACATTTTTTGTATTGTTTGTGTGTTGTAGGTATGTTTTCTTGTCTCACCTCCAGCAGCATCCTCAGGATTGTCCTTTTCACACTGACACTCCATTTCTCTGCAGTCTTTTTGTATCAAGGTAGGGCAAATATGTGACAGCACTCCTGCTTAAACTGTCAACATAAAATCACTTTAAGTTCAACACAAACGCCGGGGTTTCCAACTCAAAGTAAAACTACGAACAACACAGGGATTACATCTGTTATTACAGCATACTTAAAGTGTCTAGATACCCTTTTTCCAGGCAGAAGTAGTTGTAACAGCAAAGTAACAGAAAACCTACTCAAGAAAACACTTAATATACAATAAAACTGGATTTAAAAGCTGTATTTCAGCGTACAGCAGCGGCTAAATGTTCCTCCAGCTCCATTACCTGCTGCTTAGTCAGATAATCCTCCCGAGGAATGCCTTTTCCTTTAAATCTGCAAACACCTGACGCAACACACATGAGGTCAAAGTTGCATGTATGTTCTTCCTGAAACATTTGCCTGAACACGCCTGCCCTCAGCAGGAACAGTGGTTTGTATTCTTCGTTCTGCTGTGTGGATCAAACAATGCATTGAGAAGGTCCAGGTATGCAGGTAATGCTTCAGACAGACACACCTCTTTTGTTTTCTTGCTACACGAAGAACTGGAAATGTTGCTTCACATGTTTGTGAAGTACGAGTCATACAGGTATGGGAGTAAAGCAAACTAAAGGCAGGGCTGTAAAAGGGTTTAGTTTTATTCATGCAAATGCAAGATTAGATACAGCTTTTTTATGACTGTACGTTTAATGTACAGTATGGAAACCTGGAGAGGCAAGTGAAAAAAAGTAGGAGTGGTATCCATTTTTTTAAGTTTGATCTAAAGTGTGTCCTTTACTGTGTATGACAAAATAACAGCTGAAAAAATGCATGTTTTTCAATTTTTTGTCAGAATTATTTTAGTGTTTGTTGTTGTAAAGCTCCTTCTGACCACAAGGGGCTAACATGCACCACTACCCAACGCTATAAATGTGACGTTATTTTAAGATTTCTTGCAAAAAGAAGAACTGGAGTCATGCAGGTATTATAATAAGACAAACTAAAGGCAGGGCTGTAAAGGGTTTAGTTTTATTAATGCAAATGAAAGGAAAGGTACGTTTTTTTTATAATCCTGCTTTTACTGTACAGTACGGAAGCCCAGAGAGGCAAGTCAGAAAAAGAAATAGAGGTAGGGGAGAGTGGGGTAAATTGAGCCATTTTTTTGTTATGCTGTCCTCTAAGCAAGGAGAAATGACACAGAGTAAAATGAAAGCACACACCTATAATTCAGGATGTCTCCTATCAATGGCAATGATAAGAATTCATATTTGATCAAGGGCAGTGAAAATATTACTTCTTAAAAAAAAGTGGTCTTGTGGCACAACTTGCCCCGGGTTAGGGGTAAGTTGATCCAGGTCAGGGGGTAAATTGAACCACTGTTCAAACCTGGGCATTCCTACAACAAATCTTAAAGGTAACTTTAAACAATAAATAACAAACCAAATACAAGTTTAGTTTTTCAAATATTTTTAATATAAATTTCGATTGAATTGATTGACTTTTTTTTTTAACATGTTAATAAAAGGAAAAGTAATCATACAAATGGTGATACAATTTCATACATCTTACCAATCAAACACAGGGTGAATTCAACTTTAAATGTAGCCTACAATGAGCTCTTATTATCAACTTGGCCTACTTTCATTCATTTATCCATTGAAAAACTGGCTCAACGTACCCCAAGGCCCATGGTTCACTTTACCCCATAGCCACCATTTTAGAAAAAATAGCCTAGCATTAAAATTAAAACACATCAACATATACAATATATTTGTTTAAACCTGGATACATTTTTTTTGACATGACAGCCGATATAGCTGACATCTAGAACATTTACTTTGACAAGCAAAAAACGTTTTTTTGTAAAAATGTTTACTTACCAGACCTACAGCATCTCTCTTTCACAGGCAATGATAAATGGGAGGAGCTTGCATAATTTCTGGTCACGTGATTACAACTATAAGGCGTTGCCTGGTTACAGGGGGTGGTTCAATTTACCCACTGGCTCAATTTACCCCCTTCTCCCCTATTCAGTCTGTGGCCGTTTCTCGAGTAGAGCTGCTGCAGAGCCACTATTTCAAGTATACTACGTCATCGAAGGACTGTTTAAATCATATATATATATATATATATATATATATATATATATGGTTTAAATGCCCAGCATTCGGCGCCACTTGATGACGTAGTATACTTGAAATAGTGGCTCTGCAGCAGGTATACTCGACAGGTATACTCGACATTGAGAAACGGCCCGAATGTCTGATCTAATGTGTTTCCTCTCTTGTTTGAAGTAGTGAATGACTTTAGGTGGCTGAATACGTTAGGCATCTCGTTTTATATATTATAAAAAGCATTGATTGGATGTTTTCGAGTTCTAAAGTATGTTATGCATTTTGTAGTAATCTCACGAGTCATGGGAAAATGCCAATTTGTCACATGATGTAGACCACGTCGTAGAGGACTAAAAAACTGCTGAAAAAAATAGCAGTTTCATTTATTTATTTTTGGTTTATCATTTAGTGTTTGTTGTTGTAATGCTCATTCTGGCCACAAGAGGCTTAAATGCACCACTACTCCATGTTGGACTAAATTCGTTTTTTATTTTATGTGTTAGCAAGTTATGTAACCCTACTGTAATGTCTTTCTTTAGTTATAACCGTTTTCATAATTAGCACAAATCTGCCTTTATATAACACACTGAATTTTCACCTGACAAATATTGTTTTTCCCGCGTTTTCAAAAAGAAAATAACATTTAAGTAACTTGGAAGCAGCATTATACTAATTTCAGCCACTAAAGGGCTGAAGTGCACAATAAGCCCATGTCATATTTAAAACATTGGCTGGTGGTGCATTTCAGCCTATTGTGGGTGAAGTGAGTATTACAACAACAACAACAACAACAACTAAGACTACAAATATTCTTACATAAAGAAAAAGAAATCAAGAAGAATCAGAAATGATTTTCTGGAAAAAAATAAAATTAAGGAATTCAAGTTATACTGGAAAACATTTTTTTTATTGCATCTTTCTATTTCGTAAACACAAACAAGAAAACAATTTAGATCAGACATAGAAAATAGTTTTTTTTTAACATTCAAACAATTAAACGTGGCACTGAGCCGCACCGAACAAATTGCCTTAAAAAAACAGAAAGGTTTTAGTTTTGTACAAACAGTGTCTTGGTCCAACCCACATTTCCCAGACTACACAGTAAATGTAAAAAAACATGTAACCCACTCTGAAGTAGATCCTGAAATTTGCCAGAATTTGGACCTTGAAAATAATTTTTTTCACCTGGATTGTAATCAGTATACGTGTGTCTGCTCATGAAGGCACTGCGAGGTTCATATTGAACTCCTCAGGGTCCGAGTTTTGCGATCAGAGCGTCCATCAGCTCCTGCTTCTTGGTGCCGGTGGTCCGAACCCCAAACTGTTTGCAGGCGTCCTTCAGCACCGGCACCGTCAGTTTTACCAGGGTGCCGTTCTGCACGTAGGCCCGCAGCTCGTCTTCAGATACCTCCACTTTGGGTTTCTTATCAGCTCCACCTCCGGCATCAGCTGCAGGTTAATCCATGGAGGAAACATTAAGATTAATCAGATTTTTACTGTACAATAAAGCACTAAATAAACACAGCAACAGTGATGTAAGGGCTGCACCATTCAGAAAGAATAACTAGTTGTGATTCCTTTGACTGATATTTCAATAGCGGTATCATTCATGATATTCACAAGGTGGATCCTTTTTTGCAGCATTATTCACATTATCTTTGAAAATAAATCATAATGTTTATGATGTGGTTTTTTTAATAGCTGTATGAACTGTACCAAACAAGTTGCTAGAATAGATTTTGAAGGTCGTGATATCTCCTCAGCCCACAATACTTTAATTTGAACACATATTTAGCCTTTAACAAATATCGTGTTCTTGCATTTTGAATATTGCAATAGTCCATATGACATTTTTAATAACATGTGATTAATTGTGCTGCCTTAATTTATGTTTTTCAACATTATTTAGTGCTGATGAAAGCCCTGAAGATATTGTATATTGCAGCAGAACAAATTAAACTTGTGATAAAAACAAGCCTGTTAGTGTCTTTTTCTATGTATTGCTAGGTTATGTTCAGTATAGGGAGGGTGCCGTAAGACACTTTTGATTTCACTGTCCATTTAATAAATATAAAGTCTTTATACGTGTATATATATGTATAAGTTCTCTACCGTAGAACTATTTATATTTAAAACATGCATTATATACTGAATTGTGTGTTTGAATGCAGATGTCCTAAAGTGCTTTGAATGGTTGCAAAGACTGCAAAAGCGCTATATAAATGCACAAAGTTTCTGTAGTGTCTCCGGCTCTGACCTGTCTTGCGTTTGGCTGCTGGCTTGTTCTCAGGGTTGTATCCGATTGGGTAAACCAGATCTTTGAAGTCCTGAACCAGAGGACCCAGACGCTGGTTGATCTGCTCCACCTTCGGCACTGAGGAAGAGGAGAAGAGAGACAGGAAGAGTGAGACGGAGGAACAGGAAGTTGTATTTCTTAATGTCAGTCTGAATCTGAGTCTCACTGATGAGGTCCTCTGTGTTCTCCGGAGCGTCCATATCCAGAGCGAGAGCCTCCAGGTTCCTGTAGTGCTGCTGGATGACCGGGTTCTCAAACGCATCGCTCCTGCAACACATTACAAACAAATAACACTAATTATTACATGTTATTTTAAAAACGCGCCGGGCTCCTGATCAGCCTGTCGGGTGTTCTTTTCCCCATAATGACCTGCACATAATCCCTTACTTATTACATGGCTTAGTTGAATACTCGATTCTGATTGGTCAATTGGTTTGCTTGTCTTTAGTTTTCCGTTGTCTACCGTCTGAGAGCAACATGGAGGATTTTAATATTAATTTTAATATATTTGGAGAGCACAGTAATTTGGATGAATGGTTAGTGGCTGATGAGTCCCCAGCGAAGAAAATAAAAAGACAAGAGGGATAAGAAAACAGCGGAGAAGTAACGGGGCAGAAACCCTCAACACGGAGCTTCGGTCTTTTTTACGCAACGGTCCAGACATAGACATCAAACGGCAAAACATATTCAGTGTGCAGTTCCTTTGGCATTAGGGCAGGGATATCTAGATACTTTCCAAGCTTTGACATAATGAATTGTGCTACTTTTAAAGCAAGCAACGATGTTTTCAAATCTGTAATCAAAAAGCTCCTCAAAAACGCTATCGAAGCAGTTCCTGCCGTTGCTACGTAGTTCAAACAGTAACAACGGACTATTTTTCTTAGCGGATGCATGTCATTTTAAATCAATACAACTATTTTCTAAATCTATAAAAGCATTTCAATTAATATTGGGAGTTATGTCGTTACTTTGTTGAGAATGTGGCCGTGTAATAAGCGGGATAATTATAATTATGGGTAAAAGAACACCCTTCATGTCGAGCTTAATAGCTATCTTAGTTTATTTCTTCATTCATTTAAAGTGCTCTATAAACTAAGAACTCTGTAAAGTACTGAAGCTGTGCAGCGACCTGTATTTGAAGCGCAGTTTGGTGACGATCTCCTTCATCTTGTCCACCTGTGTTTTTGAGGCCCACGGGCAGCGGGGGGTATCGAGGGTCCGCAGGTCGTCAGCGTACGGCAGATAGATCACGTTGAAACCTGGAACAGAGACATGATTACAAATAAAACTGTGTATTTGCATACATTTCCTATCACTGTTAATAACCAAGGAAAACATTCCTGCCCACTGAAAAACCTCTCTATAACAAATCACCTCTGGCTGGAAGAGAACTCATAGCTTCGGTTGGACTTAAAGGTCACCTATCATGCAAAATCCACTTGTTCATGTCTCTTCTACATCAACATGTGTCCCCTCTTCTTCATGTCTCTTCTACATCAACATGTGTCCCCTCTTCTTCATGTCTCTTCTACATCAACATGTGTCCCCTCTTCTTCATGTCTCTTCTACATCAACATGTGTCCCCTCTTCTTCATGTCTCTTCTACATCAACATGTGTCCCCTCTTCTTCATGTCTCTTCTACATCAACATGTGTCCCCTCTTCTTCATGTCTCTTCTACATCAACATGTGTCCCCTCTTCTTCATGTCTCTTCTACATCAACATGTGTCCCCTCTTCTTCATGTCTCTTCTACATCAACATGTGTCCCCTCTTCTTCATGTCTCTTCTACATCAACATGTGTCCCCTCTTCTTCATGTCTCTTCTACATCAACATGTGTCCCCTCTTCTTCATGTCCTCTTCTTCATCAACATGTGTCCCCTCTTCTTCATGTCTCTTCTACATCAACATGTGTCCCCTCTTCTTCATGTCTCTTCTACATCAACATGTGTCCCCTCTTCTTCATGTCTCTTCTACATCAACATGTGTCCCCTCTTCTTCATGTCTCTTCTTCATCAACATGTGTCCCCTCTTCTTCATGTCTCTTCTACATCAACATGTGTCCCCTCTTCTTCATGTCTCTTCTACATCAACATGTGTCCCCTCTTCTTCATGTCTCTTCTACATCAACATGTGTCCCCTCTTCTTCATGTCTCTTCTTCATCAACATGTGTCCCCTCTTCTTCATGTCTCTTCTACATCAACATGTGTCCCCTCTTCTTCATGTCTCTTCTACATCAACATGTGTCCCCTCTTCTTCATGTCTCTTCTACATCAACATGTGTCCCCTCTTCTTCATGTCTCTTCTTCATCAACATGTGTCCCCTCTTCTTCATGTCTCTTCTTCATCAACATGTGTCCCCTCTTCTTCATGTCTCTTCTACATCAACATGTGTCCCCTCTGTGTAAAGAGACTCTGAAAGTTTCAGGAACAAAGATTCTCTCTCTTTTTGTCCTGATCCATTTCTATAAAAACCTGTCTGAAAATGAGCTGATCAGATTTTGGCCACTTTATGATGTCATAACGATGTTTTGGCTTGTGTAACCATTAGCCAATCAGCAACTCAGGAACTAGTAGATGCTCTGTATGTGATGACTACCTCCATTCTTGAGAGGATCAGAAATACATGGATCCTGAGATTGAAGATCAAGCTGGTGACCAGGGAGATTTTTCTAACAATAACACATCACACACATCTGAAGTAGAAACAAAGAAGAAGTAGATCTCACCTGGAGGAGTGATCTGAACCTTGCCCTCGTCCAGCTCCTCGTTCTGCGGCACCAGAGCCACAAACCTCGGAGGATAGTTCCTGCGAGAGACACAGCGACACACAGCGAACACGTTCCTCTCGCTGCACTTTGTCAACAACGCAGAGAAGAGACACGCGCTGCCTGAGGAGGAACCACACAGGAAGTACCAGGAAACAGAGAGCATGCTGGGAGTTAGCGCTGGGGAATATATACAATACATATTCGATAGGATAATACTTGAAAGGTCAGATCAAGTCTGAAATTTGACTTGCATCACAGCAGCTCCATGTGTGACATCAACATGGACAAATATCAAGACACAACAAACATTTAAAATAACAGCACGATCAGTGAGAGAAAACCTGCTCAAAGAGCCTTCAGCGTGCATTTGATCTGGATTCAGCTCTGTATTTACTGTAAGGATTCACTGGAGCACCAAGGATGCTTCAGTCTGACTTTATTGAATCAATATTATTTCGACATGGCGATATGAGACTAGATCTTGTCTTGGATTTTGGATATCGTGTTGTCTCTTCCTCGTTTTAAAGGCTGCATTTCAGTCATTTTCCCAGACTGGTAGCTTTTGTAATTATTCAAATGTTTCATTAAAGGTCCCATGTCATGGCCATTTCTACTGATCATAATTCCATTGTTGAGGTCTACTAGAATAGATTTAAATTGTTCAATTTTCCAAACTCACATTGGTTTCTCATACAGCATCTCTGTATAGTCTGTGTATTCACTCTCTGTCCTAAACGGCTTGTTGGAGCTCCTGCCCCCCCCTCCCTATGAGCCCAGTGGCCGTCTACGAGACAGCGAGACACAGCGAAACCAGCCCGAACACACACACATACACACACACACAGCCTGGCTGGGAGTTTGTGTGTGTGCTCACACACCGACTCACAGCCTCGGCACGTCCCGCCGTCTCAGGGAGGAGAAATCGGCGGAGCTGCAGCTGAGAAAAGATTGAGTGCGTGTGAGGAAGTCCGCGGATTGGTCAATTTGGACCAATCCGCGGACTTAACCTAATGGCTCCGCGGACGTAACGTAACGGCTCCACGGATTGGTCCATTTTGACCAATCCACGGAGGGGTCGTCGTTACGTCACTTGGTTCCCGGAAGAACATTTTTGAAAAAGAGAAATCTCCAACGAGGCGTTCTGGGGCAGCATAGACAGGTCTTTTCTGTGTTAGAGTTTTACTCGCTACAGGGTGTACTTTGAGGGTTTGTGACTCTGCAGACCGTTCACATGCAGAAAAACCTTCATAACACAAGGGGACGGGTAATAACCAGAAAAGCATGACATGGGACCTTTAAATCAACATTACTGGTGATTTTTTTTAATCTAAAATCTTTGTAAAAGCAAAGATGGTCAACCCTACAATATCATCACGATACTAAGTAAGTCAAATAATATTGTGATATTATATTGCAGCTACTTGTATTTATACATTGTGATATATTTCATTATATCGCTAAGCCCTACTGTAACTGTACATATTTATAAATTCATGTTTGTATGATCTCATTCCTGTTTCTATGTATTGTTCTTTAGTTTTGTGAAGTGCCCAATGCAACACATACATACATATTGAGAATATATTTAAGATATATGACGATTAAATACAGAAGATGCTGTAAGACACTTTTGATGACACCGTTCCATCAATTGCGGAAAACGTGCATGTTTAAAAACAGACACTCAATCCTTTGGTTTTAAAATGTCTTATTACCTTTGACCTCGCCCTCCTCGGGGTAGAGGAAGGTGGAGGGTCGGATGTGATGATGACGCTTGAGCTTCTCCATCGGTTTGAATCCAATCAGGATCATCCCGGGATCTTCAAACTTCTTGATGGCGTCGACCTCGTCCTTCTCCATCACGATCTGCCTCTTACCGTACACCTGCCACACACACACACACACACACACACACACACACACACACACACACACACACACACACACACACACACACACACACACACACACACACACACACACACACACACACACACACACACACACACACACACACACACCACACACACACACACACACACACACACACACACACACACACACACACACACACACACACACACACACACACACACACACACACACACACACACACACACACACACACACACACACACACACACACACACACACACACACACACACACACACACACACACACACACACACACACACACACACACACTTTTTGTCACCATGCCACCCTGGTGGGTAATAAACCCCAATAAGCGTACTGTAGGTGTTTCTCTCACCTGAGCTTTCTTTATCTCGCTGGGCAGCAGCAGGCTCCCGGTCTGGGTGTGAAATGTTCTGGTTTTGCTGCGGACCGGCTCGTTGGACTCTCTGTAAAGTTTGACAGGACCCGGTTTCTTAGCCGCTACAGCGGGGGCGTAAATTCCCACGGCGACATTCACACCCTCACCGAGACACAGGTTTATCCTAAAGATGGCAGACGAGGAGAAGATGGGGTGAGGATTAAAGGTCCCCTATTATACTGTTTTTCATCAATATATTATAGGTCTCAGATATATACAGAACATGTCTCTGATTGGCTGAAACACCAAACAGATCATTGCAGCATTACCCATAATCCCCTCTGTTTCAGCCCTGTTTCCAAAGTGCTGATTCTCTGTCTGTTACTTTAGATGAAAATAAGGAGCCCCTCCCCACGCCCCTCTGAGAGAGATTCGGTTACAAAGAACACAATGGTGCTCTAGGAGGAGATTCAGGTGATAAGGTGGGGGGGGGGGTTACCTTGGTTCGTGATTGGCTAATGGTTACACAAGACAACACATCGTTATGACATCATAAAGTGGCCAAAATCTGATCAGCTCATTTTCAGACAGGTTTTTATATAAATGGATCAGGACAAAAAGAGAGAGAATCTTTGTTCCTGAAACTTTCAGAGTCTCTTTCCACAGAGGGGACACATGTTGATGAAGAAGAGACATGAAGAAGAGGGGACACATGTTGATGTAGAAGAGACATGAAGAAGAGGGGACACATGTTGATGAAGAAGAGACATGAAGAAGAGGGGACACATGTTGATGTAGAAGAGACATGAAGAAGAGGGGACACATGTTGATGTAGAAGAGACATGAAGAAGTGGATTTTGCACAATAGGTGACCTTTAAGTGATTGAAACCCTTAACCACAGACGACGAGGAAAGCAAGAACTCCAAGTACCAAATTAGAAAAAGGAAGTGACTCAATGTGTCTCTGGTTTCTACCTGACCATGGCCCTCTTCTTCAGCTCTTTGGCCCGGACCCTCTTCCGGAGATCCTCCATTTTTCCACACGGCTCCAGCTGCAGACCCAGATCTTCTTCATCATCAGGAGGACTCACGATGTCTCGGAAGAACGGAGCGACATCGAAGCCTCCCGGTTTCATCAGATGCATTAAATCAATGACCACACCTGAGAGAGAAGAGATGAGATGAAGAAGTCAGAGGAGCAAATGACATACAGAGCTGATGTATTACAGCTAATGCATCCCTAAGGAACATTTTGGATGTGTTAATGTATATGGAATACGTGTTGGTAAGGGGTGTTTTCTATAGTAATCACTCAGACACTTAAGGACAAAAATGTCCCCATAAAAACTCCTTATGAATCTCCTGCTATTATACGACATGTATGTAGTCACGTGTGTTGTTTGCATGTTATCGTTCTCTTTTATCCTTTCGCATATATCTACTTGTCTTTCATCCTTTCTTTCTAACTAATGCTGTTGATGTATTGTGATTTTAAAAAGGTGTCTATTATCATCTGGCCGGGGACAACAGCTGGAAATGAGCAATGTTGGCTAAAGCTGCCCCATTTACTGTTTTTTTGTGACAGTTGATCAATGGGGACAGTCCACGACACTAGAAACTAAAATAAACGAAATGTACCGGTCTCTTTGAGGTCTCCAGCTTTAGTGCGCGCCAGCCGGTCCTTCGCGCTGTCGCCCCCGTGAGGCTCGTCCCTGCAGCTGAAGATCATGAGCCTCTTGTGGGAGAGTCTCAGCTTGATGTCGCTGTAGAGGTTAGCGCAGCACCACAGAGCGTCAGCCAGAGACGTCTCCCCCCCGATGCCCATCGTCTCCCCCACCAGCTGGGCTCCTTTCTCCCCCCGCAGAGCGTCCACCTCCCGCACTCGCTTTGCACCTGAGATAAGAGAGGAGGTGTGTAAGCAGACAGGTGAGGAACAACAGAAGGAATAGGGTGAGAGAAAGGCATGTGTAGCAGTTTGAAAGGGGGCACAGATACGGTTTTTGTCCGAAAAGAAGACTTTCTTGCATTTTGCATGTAGTGACACTGGTACTAAAAGTAATCACTAAGAGGTGCTAGAAGTACTCAGATATTGTGCTTGAGTAAAAGTAGAAGTACTCAGATCTTGTCGTAAAAGTAGAAGTACTCAGATCTTGTACTTGAGTAAAAGTAGAAGTACTCAGATATTGTGCTTGAGTAAAAGTAGAAGTACTCAGATCTTGTGCTTGAGTCAAAGTAGAAGTACTCAAATCTTGTCGTAAAAGTAGAAGTACTCAGATCTTGTACTTGAGTAAAAGTAGAAGTACTCAGATATTGTGCTTGAGTAAAAGTAGAAGTACTCAGATATTGTGCTTGAGTAAAAGTAGAAGTACTCAGATATTGTGCTTGAGTAAAAGTAGAAGTACTCAGATCTTGTAGTAAAAGTAGAAGTACTCAGATCTTGTACTTGAGTAAAAGTAGAAGTACTCAGATCTTGTACTTGAGTAAAAGTAGAAGTACTCAGATCTTATACTTGAGTAAAAGTAGAAGTACTCAGATCTTGTAGTAAAAGTAGAAGTACTCAGATCTTGTACTTGAGTAAAAGTAGAAGTACTCAGATCTTGTGCTTGAGTAAAAGTACTCAGATCTTGTAGTAAAAGTAGAAGTACTCAGATCTTGTACTTGAGTAAAAGTAGAAGCATTCAGATCTTGTGCTTGAGTAAAAGTGCTCAGATCTTGTACTTGAGTAAAAGTAGAAGTACTCAGATCTTATACTTGAGTAAAAGTAGAAGTACTCAGATATTGTGCTTGAGTAAAAGTAGAAGTACTCAGATCTTGTGCTTGAGTAAAAGTAGAAGTACTCAGATCTTGTAGTAAAAGTAGAAGTACTCAGATCTTGTACTTGAGTAAAAGTAGAAGCATTCAGATCTTGTGCTTGAGTAAAAGTGCTCAGATCTTGTACTTGAGTAAAAGTAGAAGTACTCAGATCTTGTACTTGAGTAAAAGTAGAAGTACTCAGATCTTGTACTTGAGTAGAAGAGTGTAGGAATACTCTGTTACAGTAAAAGTGCTGCATTCAAAATGTTACTCAAGTAAAAGGAGAAAAGTATTGTTAATATAGTTAAATAGTATAGTAAATGTACTTAGTTACTTCCAACCTCTGATCACTATAATTATGATTATTAATAACATGACTTTCTGAAAGTGTTCCTAAGTTCTCAAATGTTTTTGTTAAATAATATGCAATAACAATCAAAGTCTTCTATACTTTACTACACTTTCAGAAGCCAAAACCGAATTTCCCCCGGGAGAAATAAAATATTCCGATAATGATGATTAAGATATGCATGCCCTTGTTTCTGCAGCAGAACCAAAGCATTATACTTTAAATCAAGTGTAATGGTGCGTCAGTGTGTCTCACCGGGCTCGTCCAGGTCGTGGTAAACGTAGACGTGTTTAAATGAGTTCCTGGGATTTTTGCTCTGCTCCGTGCCGTAGAAAACCAACGCCATCAGGTCCCTGTGGCTGCTGATGATCTTACTGGTGTACACACTGCGCACCACCTACAAAAACACACACACACAAAATACATAAAAGCAGATGTAATACTTTGAGGACATGCTTAAGTAATAGTTAAACAGTGCTAACAATAAATATATTCAATATAACAATTCATAATGTCAAGGAAAGTGTCCCGAGTATAGAAAAAAGACACTAAAAAAGGCATTTAAAATATTAGTTTTTCTTCAAGGATGGATTAATGGTCCCGCTGTAATGCAGGTAAGTGGCCGCGTAACATTTAAATTGGTTTAGTACACACACACACGCACGCACGCACGCTAGGATGTACTAGGATGGGTTAAATGCAGAGAACACATTTCACTGTGTGCTCTGCATGTGTGACCAATTCTATTATATGCGGTAGGTAAGAGCATTCCCTCAACTGTCTCAACTTATGCATGATATTTGACAAAATGATTCCATAAAGCAGAAAAGATATCCTCCATCTTACCTCCATGGTCATGTCAAAGTTGGAGGGTTGTCCGTCTTCTCCTTTGATGAACATTTCCTTGGAGGCGTCGACCAAAAACACCAAACTGTCTCTGCCGGTGTTTTTGTAATATTCACCTGACAAAGAGAGAAAGCATTGTTTGTCGACAACTATAGTTCATAACAGTACATCTCATGGCATGCATATAAGGAAAGGCAACTTCCTGATACTCCAAACTGTTAAGCTTTGCACACTTCTCTAACAATTTTATGTATCTGTTTTTTTTCCACACATTTTCTTAATATTTGCTATTTTTCCCCTTATAACTGTATTTTATGTATGCACTAATACACAGAAACTAATTCCTTGTCTGTGAAAACTAAATTGTGATTCTGATCTTGTATTATTTGCACTTCAAATCGAGTAATGGAGGTTTTTATCTCACCTCCAGATTGCTCTCCTTCCTCCTGCTCTTCCTCATCCTCCTCATTATGGTAGAAGGCATTCCACTCTGCCATTTGAGCTACTTCCGGTCCTGTCAAATGATCCAGCAGTTCAATAACACACAAGAAGAGGAAACACAAAGCAGCTTGAATACAATCAAAACAAAGTCATTTTTAGAAAAGTAATCTTGCTATGCACTTAAATTATTCCTGTATTTTGTAAGAAAGCACAGTAAGTAAAACCCTAGCCTGGCTTTGAAAATAGTACATTAAAGACACATGCATGATATTGATGTGTTATTAAGATATTATTAATATTTAATAAACATTATGTGAGGTTTTAACTTTACTTCACACACAAGTTAGCTAGCTTAGCCACTAATAAGCTACTGATCGCTTCATTAGTATTTTAAATTCGCTTTGATAACAACTGCATGTTTTTAGTGATGCTAACAAACCATATGGATTTAACACATTGAAAAAACAACATATATAAAGTTATAATAGCTGCATACCGTGTGCTGTTTCTGTCTGTCCACAAAGTCCAGGCGTGTTTCAATGGCTGGCGCGTTCCGGGTACTACGTGAACGAGCACGCTGGAAAACGTAACGGACGTATCATCGTCTATTGGACGTTTGTCTTGTCAATCTGAGATACTGGCCAATCATAGTAAAGTAGGCGGAATTTCTTTATCACAGAACGTATAAAAACATACCGCGGCTCTACATGAGAAAGCATTTTTCTTGACAAGTCATGTTGTTGTTAATTTTCTGACAGTTACACAGCACCAACGGCCAGAAAACCAGCAATTTTGTGCTATTATTAAGAGGTGTTTTTGTAACTTTATGTATTACTTTTCATGTGAAAAAGCCTATGTTTGTGTCCGTAACAATCCCACGATATATTTTTTGTTTTATTAAGTTGTAGTTCCGGGTACGTGAACGAGCACGCTAGGAAACGTAACAGACGTTTAATCGTCTATTGGACGTTTGTCTTGCCAATCTAAGATACTGGCCAATCATAGTAAAGTAGGCGGGGTTTGTCTAGTAGAGGGGCTTGACCATGGATGTATGCTTGGATGCTTGACACCCTATAAAGAGATCCCCTGCTCCATGAGAATGCATTTTTTTGTTATTGTTTACATTTTGACCAACTTTCAGCAACCGGCATAACTAGGAGTTTTTTTGCTACTTTATTTATTACTTTTAATGTGAAAAAGCCTATGTTTGCATCCGTAACAATTCCAAGATATTTTTTGTTTTACGTTTTGTTTGCTAGCTACCGGTAAGCTAGAAACTCTCAGGTCTCTCTTTTTTAAAGTATAATACCTTTGTGTCACCATGGACCAAACCGAGTCTTACCCAGTGAAATTGTACATTTACGACATGTCCAGAGGAATGGCCCGGCAGCTCAGTCCTCTCATGCTGGGTGAGTTTCTGAAGAACCACCGGTTGCTTGGCTTTATTAAAGCCGCAGAGAGTGCACCCTTACCCGGGAAGGAAACCAGGAAACAGCGGGGATGCTAATCAGGCCTGAGCCGTGACTTTATTTTCTGCCAAATTAAAAGTGTGGAATAACTTTATTCTAATGTTGTTCTGTTTTATTACCACAGGAAGACAGCTTGATGGGATATGGTGAGTACAGCTGTTTATTTTCTTGAAATAATATCACTAAATATCATGTGAACCGTGGTTATCTAGAATTCATTGCCTTGTGTCAAATGTGTTGTGTTTTACAGGCATACTGCTATTGTGATCCATGGAAAGGAGTTCTTCTTTGTGGGAGAAGGCATCAACAATTGTCCACCTGTAAGAATCAGCTTAAGCCTTATCCAAAATACAACATTATACAAATACTACGGGGCAAATAAGTACAAATGTTTGATTACATGTCTTTGTGTTAAGGGCATGTGGAAAAAAAGGTTTTGACATGTCCATTATTAAGAAAGATACTCATCTGTGAAACAGGTGGAAGTTAAGTTAAGCCAGATGAATAAAGAGCATTTGTTCATCTGTGTTCTTAGTGCACTCTAAACACAAGGTACATATACTGTGTGTGAGCAAATAACGTAATATTAGTCATTTTCTTTCTCAAGGAATGTATTTCAATAGGTTGTAGTCTTATTTAGAACATGAGCTAGTGGTGCATGTTGACCTCTTGTGGCAGAACTGAGGGTTACAACAATAAACAATTATATGAGTTAAACCTTTTTTTTGACTTACTGTAATGTGTTTGTGTTTTCATCCTAGGGGAGCACCCCTTTGGGTCAGCCTGGCTCCGTCGTTGACCTGGGCTCCACTGAGGTGTCTGCAGAGTTATTTATGGACTATCTGATGTCACTGGCAGCCTCTACATATGGGTAAATACTCAGCTTCATCACACAGATTTACATCCCTGTGGGGTCATCTGGAGGTCAGGGTGGGTATGGGGGGCGTCACTTTGTCACTCAAGTATTACTACCAGTATAATCAGTTTGTACTCTCTGGCCAATGTGTTAAGTTTAGATGTAGGCAGTGCCGATTCTAGAGTCTGTGGGGGCCCTAGGCAAACATTCACTGGGGGCCCCTCGAACCAGCTTTTCATCACCACGCACAGCCGACATCATTCATACAAGTTACAATTAAAGACAAAAAAGTCAAACAGTTCAATTCATTTATACTACCTTTCAGAAATATGGCAATAACATCGGCTGGAAATTCTGGAAAAGTAGAATGAGCCATAAGTCTTTTATATTCTAAAATATACAGATATTTGACATTATCTTGAATCCCCTGTACACTGTTTTCAAAGCCTCTTTTAAAAAGTCTTACATTTCTTATATTTTCCTCTCATCACATCAAAATGTTCTTTTATCTTTCCTGCTTCCCACTCGCCCTTCTTCACCCTCTCAGGCCTCTCACCCTCTTCACTAATTGATTTTCTCCTCTCTTTCTCTCTTGGTTTACAGACGGGACAAATACAACCTGTTCGAGCACAACTGCAACACTTTCAGCGACGAGGTGGCTCAGTTCCTCACAGGAAAAAAGATCCCGTCGTACATCACAGACCTGCCATCTGAAGTCCTGTCCACGTGAGTCATAAAGCTGCTCTCAATGCAACTCTAAATGTACTACCATGACACTTTATCCTCACTGTTTTAGTTATCTGTATCTCTGCTTATCCTGATCTTTGTCACAATAGTAGAATTCCTGCTCTGGTTATGTATGTTTAGTGCAAAAAGAAAATAGAAAACTTTATGATCTTATAGATCGGCCTGGCCGATGATCGAGGCCGATATTCCGCATTTTACAGATGATCGGTATCGGCCTTTTTTTAAATCAAATTGCCGATACAACTTAGGCTCTGATGCGGCCGTTTCTCTGGCTGCTGGGTAGCGTCTCGAAACTGTGACGCGCTGGGACGACTGGGACTGTGACGGCTGCTAGTGGAGCCTCGCAGCAACTCTGCTTTCTGCACCACAATCTGGTGCTGCTGAATTGGGACTACTAAATGAGTGAGACTCAAATATCAGAAGTTCAGAACAAGTTTTAGTAGTTTTTATCATTTACTTTACTCAGGGTCACAGAGAGGAAACCAGTTTTAAGATGTTGAAAAGTTCATTAAACATAAAAAGGCATTTCAAAGAAGTTGTGTTATTCTACATTTTGACACCAAGATTTTCTGATTTTACTGCAAATGTATATTGGTTCCAAATATCGGTTATCGGTCTCCTTGATTACTAATAATCGGTATCGGTATCGGCCTTGAAAAAGCCATATCGGTCGATCCCTAATCTCAAACCAAAGCCAAACTGGGGGAGAACTTGGTTGCATCTTTTGAGCAGTTTTGGGGTTCAAATGGCGGGTTATGAAAGGTATTTACTTTAATATTTGGCTCCTGTTGCCTTGAATTCTTTAAAAAAAGACATGGTTTTTCATGCATCCATAGTTACCCACAAAACAAGAAACCTAGGGGTGTATTTGGTGGAAATGTTCAAGTACAACACCATCATCTGCCATATAAAGCTTTGAGTCTAATTGAGGCCCTTTCATGGAAATAGAAAGGTGTTTGTTGCACCAATTGTCGAGAAAAACCTTGTTGAAGAATTGTTTGTAAAACTCAAAGTAGTACAGACATTTTAAAAAGAAAACTACGTATCGGAAATTAGGAAATTGCATCACATCAACCCAAATGAAGCCTGAAAATCCTAAACTCAAGGTGGATTTGTTCGACTCATTGGTTCCCCTAACACCTCCTTGAAGATGCTACAATATATTGAATTACCATGCTTCTTAACATAAATGAAATAAGACAGCAGAGCAATCGTTTGCAATAGTACTGAAGTCATAATTAAATGATTGTGACGCTTAATTGTGGCGGATTTTAGTCTCTT